CCTTTTCTTTAAGCCCCACCACCAACAAACAAGTTGAGTGTCTGGTGGCTAGTAGCAACCTGAAATACGCTGAGAAAACAGATTACTGAGGTGAAATGGAATCTGCTACGGCACTCTTGCTGTCTGTGTACGCCACAGGTCAGTATCGTGTGTGTGTGTGTGGGTGGGTGTGTGTGTTCTCATTTTTGTTAAGAGACTGAAAAGTAACTTTCTAGAGCATAGACTACCTCCATCTAGTGATGTCGGTCTATTGATTTTGATGTATTGATTGAAAATTGTTCATTATTACCTTGGTTAATTAACATCTAATGTTAACTCTACTAAATTTTAAAGCAGTAGGGTAAAATGCTTGTCTTTGTTCAAAAGACTGTATTAACTGTAAAGACTGTCTTTTACATCAGCCTGTTTTCAGGGCCTTTTTTTGCCTACATATTTGTTATTTTTTGCTACATGCCTCCCCATCTTCTTGCCATATGTTTCTATGGCATAAATCAGTGTCTGTGACCTGTTTTCATAAAAAAAAAAGCACATTGGCACAAACCTAGCCTGTATGTATTTTTTGTATGTCATCGAGAGTATTTAAATGATTTTCAATCAGAAAAAAAATTTGTGATTAAAATGCGATTAATCGCGAGTCAAATTAGGCATTGATGCGATTAATCGCGATTAAAAAAATTTAATCGATTGACAGCACTAATATATATATATATATATATATATATATATATATATATATATATATATATATATATATGTATATACACACACGCGATTGCAATGATGCTCTTTCACTGCTAATGGGCTGGAGATAACAAATCTATTTTGATGGTCTGGCTCTTGTTTAATTCCATGGACTGTTTAGCCTATCAGACAGGTTTTAACAGGTTAATCTTGCAGCTGCATATGATGATGAATTATTGTTCTATTCCTTTCTAACTTTGAGTAAGAAAAAAAGACAAAACTTTTTTTTTTAACATTGACATTCAGTGCATGTGAGTTGTGAGGTACATTTATTCTATAGTGGAGCCATTAACCACACTTTAAAGAGTCCATCCCTTTACTCGAGTTAAACAAAATGTCAAATGATGTGCCTAAATGGGAGTTTCTTTGGCAACAGACTTCAAAGAGGCATTAACATCAAACCCAGAAATGAACTTGTATAAATATTATAGAGTGACTATACCAAAGTTCAACTTTAAATTTCTAACAAGGGTTCGAGTAAAGCCCTATTCTGAAGAGCTGCCTGTTAGCAACCATCTTCTGAAGAAGAACTTCAGCTTATTCTATGAGGATCTTGTTAACAAAAAATCCCATTGATATGACTCTAGTCAGCTTCTCGACTGGTCTGTGATGTGGCCTTCAGAAGCGAGAGCTTCTAAATTCCAGACTGATATCAGTAATGCTGAGAGCAAAATACAGCAAAGTTTATGCAGAGAAAAAATCTCAGATTTGATGTTCTTTATCACCCTAAAGCTCAAATTCAAGGTAACTTTTCTGACTTATGAAGCCAAAACAAACCTTCTCACATTGATTTTAAAGTGCACATTTATATTAGCATTGTATATGAAATAGTCAATAGAAGAAAGTGAAACTTAGATTTTATTTCAGCTCTAAATCATCACAACCTTTAAGGTAAAAGCTTTTGTTTGTCATTCCCTTTATCTCGTGCTGTAGTGGAAAAACAAAGCTCACCATTTAACATTTCTGAAAGCAAGCTTGAAATGACTGGTATCAACAGAAAATTAGGTTTTACCTTTAACCGTCTCTCTCCAACCAGAGGTTTTAACAGATCAAAGCTGAATCTTTAGACATCCTGCGAACAATCTGCTAAGATGGATCCATCATACTAATCTAAATAAAAGGATACATCAAGGAATAGGATGAGAAGGGAGTCAATACTTCTACATTAGGTTAAAATGAAACAAGCAAATAAATTATTTAAACATAGCTTATTAGACATACCAGGTAGGGAAACCCCAACATTCTATCCAGTTTATTTTGCTGGATTATATTTTCGGGCCATTTTGTTAAACCCAATATCTCATGGCTCTAGATTGGTATGAGGAAATAAATGAAAGAATGAATTAAGAGCTTTTGCCTTTAGGATTCACTTTCTTCTGGATACCAACAGAATAAACTAAAGCCGCTTTCCCACCTGCTAACAATCAGCTTTTGGCTCTTTTTCCTTTTGACTGAAAAGCAGAGTCTGACCCCCTGCTGGAAAGCTGCGTGGTCACTGCCCCCCACCACTGTGATGACTTCATCATGCTGGGTGAGTGTTGATGATGTCGACAGTGCGACGGAAATCAGAAAAGTAAACAAGGGTAAGCAACATGGATGGGAGCCAGTCTGAATGTCCGAATCCCACTTACCAGTACCATGTTTACTGAATATAAACAGAGCTGATTCGGCTTGTTTAGATCAGAAGCGACTGGCATGGTGTGTTGACATCTGTATATTGCATTCAGTGGTGTCAAAGGGGTGCAGAAGGGGTATAAGACTGAACGAATTTGCTAAAAAATCTAAATTAACATTATTCTTTAACTAATATTGCAATCACGATTTTTCTTTACACTAACCGCCACCATGAGGATGTTTTACTCCAGGGTTTCTTTTTAATGACCCTAAAAGGCATCTTGCCCAGAGTTCATTATTGCAGGACATTACTGTAACCTTTGTTTGGAAAAAATGTATGGATACGTGTGTACGAATGGATCTGCATGCTAGCTGCAATTCTTTCTTCTATTCTGCACGGCGGCAAACCCACCTTAAATGTATTACCTACCTTAAGGGCTGGGATGAGAAATTTAGTGTATTATTCTTGTTAAATGTAATGTCACCAAAACTAAATGCCTCTGTGATTAAAAAATGACGTTTTGATAAGTTGCAATTGGATAGCTAATACAATCAATTGCCCAGCACTAGAAAAAAGTAGTGTGAGCTTAAAAAAAAATTAATCTACTATATTCTGTTCCATCATAAAGTCAACTATAAATCCCAAAGGAAAAACAAAAAAAAAAACAAAAACAAAACAAACCCACTGGATGTGGTTTTCCCAGTTTGAAGATGTTTTGCTTCACATCCAGGAAGCTTTCTCAATTCAAAGTGTCTGGGGTAGAAAACCCGCAAATTGAACAGAAATGTTTTCTAAGCCATAACAAGGCTTTTTTTTGGGCTACTCTGTAAGCCTGGATCTCAACACTACTCCAACGCTACTGACTATAACCTGGATGACTGAGAATATTTACTGCCATTTATAAACCAAACATTCAGGGTGTTCTTTAAGAACTTTGCCTTAGGTAAACCTTTACCGTCATTTAGAGAGAGCAGTTAATCTTTTTCCCGGTTAAGCACATAACAGACTCAGCTGTTCTGACCAAAGGGTGTTAAATTACCTTCCAATCAAAGGCTAAATTACATAATCAAATAAAAAACATGTGATTATTAGATTCAGCTGTGTGGAAGCAGTAAATATATTTAAAAATCTAGAAATCTTGCTTTATTTATCCCCGTCTACTTTGGCAGCAACAGTACTCATTTATGGCTTGTGCTTATTTTGTTGATATGATTGTGCTTGATTTTTTTAAGCGTAAAAATCAAGATCTGCTAGAGAAACATAAAGAATGCAGAAGTTTTGGCTCAGAAGCAGACAGAAAGAAGGAACCAATAGGACCTTTTATAATACTGTATTTCTACACTAGTAAGACACACTGAAAGTGTTCCATGCTACCAGGCATCAGGGAGATCCCCATGGGTTAAAGGTCTTTGTACAGAATGTCTCTCAGAGGTTTAATTAGATCGGGATCTGGGGGATTTGGAAGCCAAGTGAAAACTTTAAATTAACTATTTTACTCCTTGTGTTGAAACAGGCCAGAACCATCAAAGAAGGCAGTTTTCATAAAATGGTGCGTTTGTTCTGCAATAATGTTTAGGCACTTTTTATGCGTCAAAATAAATTTCACATAGATGACAGAACAGACTTCTCAGCAGAACATTGCCCAAAATATCATACTGCCTCTGGTCCTTTCTACTGTGTGCCATGATGCCATCTGTTCATCAGGTAAATGACCCACATGCACATGGAAAGGGCTGCATGATGGTAGGAAATGAGTAATAATGTTGGAGAATTTTATGACACAAATCTGATATAAGATGAACAATCAAATAATACAACAATGATACATTTGTGCTTTGTATAAATGTTCCTGACATAGACCACAAACACACAAGAGGCCTTCCTGCTACTTTGGTGGAGGCAGAGAAAATTGACAGGATTGATTTGGATATTTTCACTTAAGGTTGCAACTCACTTTTTTTTCCCAGCAGACCAGAAATTAATGTTTGTTTGCTGAGCTATTTAAGGGGACAGACATTTTTATCGTTATACAAGCTGTACCCAGACTACTTCAACACATACTCATTTGTCACGTGGTTCCCATGAAAAAGTAAAATATCTATAATAATGTACAGTATTGATGTACTCACTTTTTTAAAATACTGTTAGTGAAAACAATAAAAATCACTTAATGCTGTTTTATATGAAATTCAGGGAGAGAGAATGATTAATTGAATGTGCTGCAAAATAATTAAAAAAATGTTCTGCAGCTTTAGATAAAATCTTTAATAATTTTCCCAGTATTCCTGGATGCTGAAAGCACAGAGATTACTGAGAAAACGCAGGAGGTGCTCAACTCAGGTCTCAGTTTGAAATTGAAGTTTATCTCTTCAGGCGACTGTTTTCTACCCGCTGCTAAAAGATTTCTGACCATTAACTCCCACTTTGCTTTTTTTTTTCCCTCTCCCATAATACAATATGAAATCGCAAGGTTACATTGTGACAAAATGAAATGGATTTTTCTCTTTTCACTGTTATGTTGACTATGCATGAATGACATTGAATATGATCTGACTAAACTATTTTTCTTAGAGTGCAAAAGTCTCCTTTATGCAGGGGATGAAATTAAAATAACAACAACAAAAGTTTGCAACAAATAACTTACCTGAGGGAGCAGTTTTGCAATCCTGCATGTTACACTTTTGGTTGTTGTTTGGTTTTAGCTTGTTGTCACACTGATCTTGATCCAATTCTTCTGAATCCTCTGCCTTTGTGTTGACACATTTGATGAGCCGATGCTGCAGTCCTCCTCCGCAAGAAGCTGAACACTGAGGGAAATTTCACAAAAGTTTATCATTCAAAACATAATGTAAGCGTTCTTACCAATGTTTAACATTATAATAACCAGTTTGCTTTTTTTTTTTTGTAAATTGACAGCACTCACATTCTTTCAGTAATACAATTTGACTTTTGTTGGATGGTAGCAGAGTTTCATCGTTTAAGATTAATGGAGAAAAGCTAAATCCATTTCACTCAATTAAATCCACACAAATTTAGTTCTAAACATCTCTTTTGTCTTAATCTTTCCCTTTCACTTCAATAAATTCGAAATCAGAATTAACATACAGTAGTAAAGACTAAGTGCTCTGGATAAGGCTGTTGTAATGCAACCTGGAGAACACTTTACTTTTCAAGCAGAAAAATTGAACTTAAAAAGTAGAAGTAGATATAGTGAAAATAGATTTGCATAATATGCTAACAGAAACATGCACCAGAAACAGATCTGTAAAGGGGATTAGGACTCTCTTACATTGTGAGGAAAACCTGATTGATTGATTCCCAGGTTTGTTCTTTCTGAGTATAAAAAAACCCAGACCCAGCTGCTTTATCAGCAGGCTGGAGGAGAAGAAATCGTGACAAGACTTACAGCCAATTACAGGCAGAGTTTGTAATATCAGACAGCTAATTAAAAGGAATTTCTTGCTATCTTTTTTGAAAATGCTTTCTTCTAGAGTGAGAAAGACTCCTATGTACCAAAAAAGGACCTACTTTTTGAAGTTTAGAAGCTATCACTAAGCAGCAGTTGTTTTTACTCTTAAAGTTTCTGAAGAGTTTAAACATATTGTATTGTATATGTGCAACTACATAAAACTTATCAATATACTTTAATGGCAAAAAAGCCAACACATGTTATTGTTATCTTAATTTTAAAAATAAGCAAAATTATTATTAATAGGTAAGAGAGCAGAGCTTTGGTCTATCAGTGACATTATAAATGAGAGAGGGAGACATTTTTTGGAGGTGATCAAACCCAGCAGTAACATGTGATTTATTATGAATATTTATTTAAAGTTTCTTAACATTTATAGTACACATATACTACAATCATTTAAACATTGTTATTTGACAAGCTTTAATATTCTGAAAGAAAGAATAACCTGAGTCAAGATCAATTAGCTTACTTCCCATTGTACATTAAATGAGAACCTTTTTAAGTATTCTTTGTTCAATAGCTAAAATACACTTATGTTGGTGGAAATGAAAGTACCAAACAAAACAAAAAAAGGATTAAAAAAATAATAAATATATATTTCTGTATCACCCAGCCCTGCAAGCAATATCCCACAAAAGGTGAGCTTCATTTGTTGTCCAAACCAAAAATTGTGAATGCATGTAATATAAGTTTTGAGGGTAATTTACTAAAATAGTGAGCTCAATCGATAACAAGTGTAAAATTAGTGCTTACACCCTATTCAAATGAGGATCTGATGGTTGAGAGCAGTGGGTTAATTTTGCATGTGTCAAAGGCAGTCATATTTCGTAATAGCACTGCCCATCGATGGCAGCTATGATCTCTATGTGGAGAAAATGAGGAAAAAAGGAACTTTTCTGTTTGCATGAAATTTAAAATAAAATCATCCCCTATCCACTGTCACACCAGTCAAGGTCAGTGTCTTAGCTTCTGGAAGCAATGCCAATCAGAAACAGTAAAATCATCTTTCTAGAAACACTGCATGTTTGTAACAGTTTGAATTTTTTAATTAATGGATAATTTTTTTTCAAAGAAAACATTGTGCATTTTTAGCACCATGGTTTGTGAACAACAGTCATAAAAGCTGAAACACACCACTCTATAAGCAGTAATGCAATTTGTTTGTCACACTGGTTGCATGTAGGGTTGCACTACACCCCACCATGTATTCATGGAAGAGTTTGTCCTAGAAATTCCCACAGCATAAAAACAAGTAAGCAGTAAATGTTGGTTTGTGGTTGCTCCTCTACCAAGCTCAAAGAAGACTGTTTCACCTTATCCGTTTGTTATTTATACCTGCTGTAGTTTGTTACTTGATATATTATATACTGAAAAAATTTTTTTTTGTTGTAAACTAGTTTCACACTTGATGTGATGATAGTGAACAAGTGCTAGAAAACAGCCATATGCCCCCTCACCTCTAAAATTAATCTGTTGCTGGACTGTACAGCACAAGGACTGTGCTCAGGGAAAAGCCATTAACAGTGATGGAGCGCTAAAATTATCAATGCAGACAGAAGAAAATGTGACATTGTAAGCCTTCTTACCATAGAAGAAAGGCAATGGTTTCTATTTGTGACTGACTCCAAGTTGGCCCTTAGTTTATCCAGCAGCACAAAGATAGCATTGCTTAATAAGTGATATGTCTTTTCGGTTTGATTTCTGACAGTCTAAATATGTTATTACAATTGTGCCCCCTTCTTGCCAGAATGACCGAATTTGTTCATTGAGTTTGCACCAAACATTTAAACAACCTAAACATCAGAAATTGCACCCAAAATCAGTTTTTAGGTTTGATCAGATTGCATCTGGTACATAATTACATTTGCATATCTTCCTCCCAGTTTTTTACATGTTCTGATCAGTGCATGTTATAAAAACTCATGAAGGCAAACACACTAGATCAGGGCTGCAAAAAGTTGTCTCTCGAAGGCTGCTTTCCTACAGCTTTTAGAGGTTTCACTGCTTCAGCACAGCTGACTCTGAAGATTGCATTTTCAGAAAAAAAAACACCTTAATAAGCTATTAATGGAAATCAGCTAAAACCTGCAGGACAGTGGCCCTCAAGGACTGAATCTGGGCAGCCTAGCACTAGATGGATTGCCCCTGCGACTGAGTGCAACCAATTAGTAGATAAGCTGTGCTCATGCTATCAAGTCTGCACCAGTTTGTACACATGCAAAACCCATAGATCATGTCCTTGGTCTTTTAAATTAAAGTCTTTTAGGGAGGAACATGTTATTAACTTCAAATCAGTCCTCCCTTCTACTAACTACCATTAATCTCAAAATTAACTTTACAGCCGATTAATACATTAATACAGAAATTAAATTGAGAAGGTATTATTGATAATACCTCATGGACGAATTATTGAGGCACATTACCCCCAGAATGTATGTTTTTCATATTACAATATAGAAATAAGATCAATTAAGATTCTGATAATAATACAGGATATTAAATTATTTCAATGCTAATGCCCCTAGAAGAGAGAAAAGCTTTAAAAATGAATAGGAAATTTATGGAAATTATAAAGTAATTGAGTAATACAAGTTGTTGAAATGTAAATGAGATTCTTCTGCCCCAATGAAACTGTTTTATTAAATATGACTGATTATCATGTAAGACTACCTGTCCCCATGATCCAGTAAGCCACTGAGCACAAGGCTGGATGTTGCAGGATTGAATAGCGCTTGGCTGAAGGTCTCGGTCGCATCGATCATCCTCTGGACAGGTGACTATGCGCTGCTGCTCACCACCTCCGCACACCTCAGAGCACTAGGCAACAAACATCCAACATATTATACATCTTTGGTTAGGGGGTAGGGATATATTTTTCACCTGACTGAGTAAAGAAAATAAAGATTTGGGCTTATAAAAATATGCCAAACACACATCGCTACCTTTAACTACCATATTAATTGCTTTTTGTGTTTAGGTCCTTAATTAAGGCTGTCTAATAAAAATAATTCATCTGGGTTTGCATGAATTATGTAATGACTTCCTTTTTTGCATTTAAATTTAAGATTAAATGGATATCTTTTGATATCTATCAGAAGAGCAACTAAAAACATATTAAAGCTTTAGCTAAAATCTGTAATGCAGTAATGCTGAACTGAGTGACATTGTGCAGAAAAAATATTCAGTGAGCTTATTACAGAGAATTTTGAGATTTCTACTGAACTGATTTCTACTCCAACATTTATGAAACTGAAGCTCTGGCTGCGGTTTGATGATTCAGAAACTTCCTTGTCAGTTCTTTTTGTTAGACAGAGAAAGCAGCAGTATTTTTTAACGCCTCTCTCTGATGAGTTTGAAACATTTTTGTTACCACTGAATAATAACCACCCTTTAGTGTGCTAGCACTTTGTTCAGTACAGACTCTAGAAAGGAACAAAATAATAGAATACTTTTCCTAAAAAAACTGAGAAACTTTATAACTTGACTTAATTAATGAATCAATGCTATGTTTCAAAGTTTTGTGACTCCCCCAGAAAATGATGACTTAATTTTTATTGTTTATTGAAAATCACAAAATTAGATTATTAGTATTTTCCATACAAAATTTAAGTAAATCACATGAAATTAAAACTCAAAAACAATATAAGATATTAAGGTGATAGAAACCAGAGATACTAGGCAGGATTACGAAATGAGTTCAACACTTTGGGGGAGATTTACAAGATACTGACACTAACGCTGCAATGAATCAGCCGCTACACATACTGTTTATAATCAGACAAAGCCTATGAATTGATAAATGACTTTTTGGGTAGTACAGTAATTACATCTGCATATCCTCCTCAATTATATCAGCATGGTTTGGTCATAGACATATGATCTGCATATTTATTATGGTATACAATGCAATAAAGGTGCAACCACTGCTCATCTCATTTGACACATGCAATTTGCTCCTCATATGAAGATCTTTTTTTTTTTTTTTTTTTTTTTTACGTTTTTCTTTTTACGTGTTTGTATGCAAACCGTTTGAGTGTCAGGATAAAAAAAAAAAAAAGTGAAATATATTCTCAGGTGAAAAGAGGATTTTGGACAATTGAGTAAAAAACACAAAATCCCCAAATCATTGCATTGGTTTATTACCAAACACCTAATTTAGATCTCTTTATTCTGCTTAGATGCTAAAAATGTATGAATATGCTGATTTATTTTTCCTGTAGAATTTAGGACCTGCCCATATTGCTCAAAGTACCAATACATAATTTGTTATTATCAGAGTGCTTGATTGACCAAAAAAAATACCTCACATTACATCAACCTCATAGGGACTCAATGGTGAAGAGGAAGACGAGAGACAACAGAACCAACACCACAGATGACCTGAAGTCAGATATAAGTTACCCTGAGCTGAAGATCTCAGCTGAAAGGCAGGATTATTGCCTGGCAATGTTGAGGAAAATACTTCAAAAAGTAACTAGTTATAGTTAATATTTCTCCATAAAAAGTTACATATTTGTAAATTAGTTTCTGCATGATCAATGTAACTAGTTAAAAATGAAAGTAGCTATATAGTAACTAGTTATGATCTTAAGTCTCGAAGCATTTAGAGTTAAAGGTATCGGAATTTGAATACAACTGGAAGTTCTATTATGAAGCATAAGAAGTTTGATATGAATGAATTCATTGAATAATAGTTTAAAGAAGTACACATTAGAAAAGATTGTATGCTAATCTGCACCATGAGTGTTAAGAGTGTGTGTTGGGTCAAGCATGTTGCAGTGTAATGTGATTATGGTTTTGTTTATGATAAAAAAATAAAGCAAATTATACTTTTTGGAACCTCATATTTTTGCACGTTGACAGCCTTCGACTGGCTATAAAATAGGCAAAAAAGTTATAAAAAATTAAAAAAGCTTCTTAAGCAATTTAACAAAAATAAAACATGCTTTGCAGTAGAATTTGACAGGACACTATTACAGACAAAACAAAATAGGACAGAGAGTTAAGACAAAATATAGGCAGCCAGCTGTCAGTCAGTGTTCAGATGATGTGAGGATGTTCTTTGGATTACAGATGCCTCTAATTGATGTTTACAAAGTCTTTGTTCCCTCACATTATGGATAAATCATTATAATAATGAGTGAATTATTATAAATAGAAACATTTAGCCTCTCAGCCAATCAGTATGACGTATACCGATCTCAGATTCCTGCTTGTCCCAGCAGAAAACATTTCTTCCCAAAGCAGAGGTGCAGTTATGAAATGTTGCTCTAATTCAGGGGTGGGCAATTCCAGTTCCTGAGGGCCGGTATCCTTTGATTTTTTGATGTTCCTTAGGTTCAACATACCTGAATCAATTAAGATGACTCTGGAGGAACTGGCTGAGGAGGTAACGCATCCATTTGACTCAGAGGTGTGGACCAAAGTTGTATCTAAAAGTTGCAGGATACCGGCCCCCAGGAACTGGAATTGCCCATCCCTGTTCTAATTGATCGAGATGAAGTGACGCGTTAGATTTCAGGTAATGTAACAGCGTTAGACATGAATGAAAAGTAGTTAGATGACTTTCAATGAAAGGCTAATGTAGTTACTAACTTTGTCATTATGTAACACTGTAACTCCAAAAATTGTTGCCTAGATACCAGATAGCAGTAACACATGAATTCATGCAAAAAGAGCTATTAATGTGTATTCTGCATAACATAGAACCACACTATTTAATGGGCTAGTATTGTAGTTTCGAAACATTACTGCAACACCTTTCCCTAAAAGTGTAAGCTTTAGCCTTTTTTTCTGTGGAACCTTTGAGGATGCTCCTAGATGCAGCAGCACTGAATGTGTTAAGAGATGTATGTGCTCTACTAAATCGGCTCCTTTTTTGTACAGCTGCAAATCCCACACAAATGCAACTTACCCCATCTCATCCTCACTAAATGCATAAACAAACCCACCAAAGCAATAAGCATCATAAGTAACATCTTGAGAACACAGCATCCAACCTGCACCCTATCAATGCAATAAATAAATATTCAGGCATTGTCAAAAGCATTGGATATTACAAGAGTCTGTCTTGGGAGTGCTGAAGTTCTGTGCCTTAGTAAGATGAGAATCTAAGTGAGAGAAAAGCAATCGGCTTCTTATGTATTGCTGAGTAATAAGAATAAAGTGAATTTAAATATAGCATAAAGGTAAATTTGAACCACAACTATAACATGCCAGAATTGTAACTTTTCTAATAGCTTACAATACAGCACTTTACTGCGTCATCTGTGACAACATTAGGTAATCTATGCTTAAATAAAAAAGCAGGCCTTTCTTTGACAAAAACTCACTCAATTATAAATAAAAAGAAAAAGGTATAAAAATGCAATGTTTCTAATTCAAAGATTGTGCAATGACCCCTTATTCTGTCACATTTAGAAGAATGAATATAAAATAAGAAGAGATCTAACAACCACATTCATTTATCCTGTTATTTAGCTCACCTGGCCCCAGGAGGACGTGTACCAGTCAAGACATGTCCGTACATTGCATGGCATTTGTGCTAATGGCCTGCTGGACATGGCCCGGCAGTGGAAAGGTCGAAGAGGTCTTTGATCTCTCAGGTCAAAACACTGAACCTCTCTCAATTTAATTCCACCTTCACAGTTTTTGGAGCACTGGGAAACAAAATAAATAAATAGATAAAAAAAAAACAACAACAACAAAACAAAGCAATGAAACTCACAAGATATTTCATTTATACATAAATGGAATTAACTTTTTGTTCTGACATTAATTGGTCTGGTGTGGAGCCAAACACTGTTGATTTACGTAATGCAACCTGCAAGTAAGAAGATTAAAATATAGAGAGTAATATAGCAAGCAGTTCTACCTTACTCCATTCCCCAACCTTCCACGAGGAGCAAGGCCTCAGGTAACACTGTCTGGCAGGTGCAGGCCTCTTGGTTTGATCACAGTCTGATTCTGAGCCAGTGCTGCAAATCAGAGTCCTCCATATAGCACCCAGACCGCAGCTAGTGGAGCACTGCCCACAGACAAAATCATTTGTGAGAATATAAGTCTGACAGCTGAAAGCCAAAGAGGCATGAATCCCATTTTACCAGCTTGTCACCTATGCCCCACTGGTTTTACACTTTGATATTTAAGGGTTAGAGACAGTAACAGCAGCAGCATGAATAAGAATTTTCTGTAAGAATCATACAAGTCATATTTTGTGCCTTACGTTTCCTCTGTGTTGATTTATACATTTGTATTTAACTGTTGCTGTTTTAGTTTCAATTTCTGCATAGCAAAAACAGATGGAGTGTGGAAAATAAATCAAAATACTCACAGAGCTCCAGTTACCAGTAATCCAGAAGGCTGCACTATTGACCAGTGTGGAGGCTGAAGTTTGGACTGAATGTAGAAGTGGAGCTGAAGTTGGGAGAATTAGAGCACTTGGTGTCGTTGATTTTACCTGCTGTGCTGGAGCTGAGCTAAGTTTAGGAATGATTGATGTGGGTATAGATTGGTGTTTAGCTCCTGAATGACTGTTATCGCTGCTCTGCACCACAGAGGGAATTAATATATCATTGTAATGAAAATCAGACAAATAAAATGAAGTAGGCTGGAATGCTCCGTCTGTTCCAGTTTTCTCAGCGTATGAAGGTATCTGTTTTCCATCTGGAGGGGTGCTTGTAGCTCCCTGGAAGATTTTATCCAATCTGACATCTGTTTCAGTTGAAAATATAGAGTCAGACATGTCTTGTTTACCTGAGATTAGAAGGAGGGGAATAGGAGGAGGTGAGGGTTTCTCCGAGAAAAGAGGTGATGATGTGCTGAGCTCAAGTTTTGAATCCCAGAGGTTACCGTCACCCTTAGCAAAACGATTCTGATTCAGATCCCAATCCTCCTCCGTGAAAGCACCTGGAATGTCTGAGTACTGACTGGTTGTTTGAGGTATTTCTGAAACATTACTGTCAAGATCAGTCACAGCCTGACTTCCCTTCTCTAGAGACGGAGCGCCTAAAGGTTCTGAACTTTCCACATCTTCATCTGAAGATATATATGCTGTAACAACCTTTCGAGCATTTAATTTTGAGGTAACATCAGTGGTTATAGTTCTGGCAGCAGGAGCAGTGTGTGTCGGAGGCACAGTGAGACGGTAAAAGTGATTTTCCTCCTCACTGGAATCGCTGTAGTTATATTCCATCTGCTCTCCAGAATGACCCCGTGTTTCATCCTCTACAGGCCACTTTGTGATGACAACCAGACTCTGCTTTGTGCTGATAACTTCAGGCATCAGACTTTTACCTTTTTGTACAGTTTGTGAATCTGGGGTTGTGGACAGTGGAGATGGTCTGGTGGCAGATACTGGGAGAAGGTGATCTTCATACAGAAAGTCATTTATTTCATCTTGAGATTCTTGCTCAGAGTGAACCTTTTTGACATTTATTTCTATGCTTTCTGGCTCTTCAGTTTGCAAAGGGTGGAGGTCTGTAATCAACCTAGGAGGTGAAGTAGTAATGGGAACCTGTGGAGTTTCTGTCAAACCCTCTTCTTTTATAAACTGGGTTGGCTTTGCTTCTTGCGGAGAGTTTAAACTGTGACTGTCCTCCGATTCCTCCTCAAATATCCCAAGTTCATTAAATAAGTCCTCATGAAAGTCGATAAAGTTGTAATCATAGTAGAAATCGTCGATGTGAACGCTGGTTTCACGAGAAGGTTCATTATCTTCAATGGAATTCTGGTTATTTTCAATGTTATTGTTGTAGAGGAAATCTCCCTCAACAACGTAATTGTGGTCTTTCTGACTCCTCGGCTGACCTCTGTTGGTGCCATATTTGGGGGGAGGTTTGGCTTCAGAAAGGATATTTATTTCATTGAACACCTCATTGCTCATCCAACCACTGCCAGACCATTCGATGCCTCCAAAATTATCCAAAACCGAGGGACAGTCCCGAACCTGGCAGCTTGTGACCGCCGACGGTTTGTTTTGAGGGTCACAATCTACCCCGGTGTTCCTGGAGCAGGTTACATTGCGGTGATGCGTTCCAGGACCACAAGTTACTGAACACTGTATGAAGAAATAAGCAGAAAGGTCGAAATTAAATGGATTTACATGTACAAGTAAGTTTGAACTGGGATTTAAAACCGTATACACAAAAAACATAGACTATAAAAGTGGTTGAATAAAGACCAAAATGATTATGGTCAATAATTTAACAATAAGGACTTGTGCTAAACTGAATTTTCAGTTTACTAAATTTGAAATGTAGTCAAATACTTACTTCATCTGAAAGTAGGCAAATATAGTAGAGTTTACTGTGTATCTCCAGTATTCTATATTTCAGATCCTTTACTCCAAATAGTTCACCTAGAGTATATACAGTTTCTGCAAGAGAGGCGATTTTCTAAGGTAATGCAACCATATTTTACTCTGAGTTGTTTTCACTTGTTTTGTCCTTGATGACACTTATGTAGATGCTTTCTTGGTAAGTTCCCTTTGGTTCAATAACATAAAAAAAATAATTTGTCTTACATGAATCTGATTTCCAAATAGAACTGCTATACTGTACTCCCAAACAGCGGAGGCTCAGTTACAGAGATGCTGGCACCACAGATAATGCAGCGCTGCAGAGATTCTGTGACAGTAATAAAAAGCAACCAAAAGCCAAGCACAGCTCCTTCCACTGCGTCTCTATGTTTCTCAATTTTTGATGAAACAGTTCCACATTTAGACATAAATAAATGTGTGAATAATGCAAAATATTAAAAATAACAGCTTGATTAAATGCATACCTATTTTGCTTTGGCATCAATGGACCATTTAGGTTTCATTTATGTATATTTTCAGCTAACTGTGTAATTAGTAAAATCTTTATTTTTTAGGGCATTTCTAGAAACATTGGCATATTTATAAAGACCTTTTACAGGGGAAAAATAGTTTGCATGCTCAGGTTTCGCGTATGCTCATAGGTGCAGGTGAGAGGAACTAATCCCCGAAAAGGTGAGGTGACCCAGAGCGACAGTGTCTACAGCATCTTATAAACAGTATAGCTGTGTTGCTATCTGACTGTGTAAACTACATCAACTTTCTAATTTAATGCAAGATGGGAAGGTAGCAAACTTTGTGTTTACCAGAAACATCAGCCATTATTTCAGAAATAACAGCCTGAAGAGTGTAAACAAACACTGGCAATATGAATTAATGTGGTACAAAAAAAAAACAGTAAAAGAGCTCATGGAATATTTCTGAGCACACTAGAAACTAACCTTTGACCAGCTTCCAGTGCTCCAGTCTGCAGGGCAGGGGATGTGTATGTTGCAGACGGATACAGACTCAGGCCTGGGGATATGGTTGCAGTCACTTGGATCCAAAGCTTTCTGTTCTTCTGCGCTCACAGCTTGGATGCAAAGGACTGTCCTTATAGCCTGACCCAGGCTACCACAGCTTGCTGAGCACTTATGCCATTCTCCAACCCACCATCTGCACAAGCACCAAACAAAGCACAATTTTCCAATAATCAGCACAAATAAGAATAAAATGACAAACACATCACTGTAGTCATAATGCAAATTTTGTTAAATGAAAAACACATATACTTGGCCCATATTTTAATGCTGTCATGCATTGACATAGTAAAAAAATAGAAGAACACCACAAATACATTATTATGCTAGAACTTGTTGTACATGGAATTAATGGATGGTGTGGAGGAGACAAAGTTCTTACAAGGATTTTAATTTTTATGTAAAACGTACATCACTAAACAGTTATTGTAAAAATATTTCAAAATAGGTTAAAGTTACTGATGACTTAGGTAGATAAATTATTTAACTGAAGTGATTTAGTTTTTTAGTCTGTTGTTCACATAAAGGAATAAATGAATAAATAAGTGGATGGATAAAACAAATATTTCAAATTTTGAAAGATCCAAAAACATGGAAACATAGCCCAGAGGCATTTTATCAAGTGCTTCATTGCACTACTGTCTTTTACAACAGCTTGATTTCTTTGAGGCATGGATACTTTGGAGAATAATATAGGAGTAGACAGATCCAAACAGGACAATGGACGATTTTCCGCCCCAGGTTTCAATCAGGCAGAGTTTCAGAATCCTGCTGCCGTTCCTTAAGAAAAGTTGTAAAAGCCTCCTCACAGTGACAAGATACATGTTCATTCTGAAAAAAAATGCTTCGTCACTAGAAAACTGTCTGGCGACTGAGGGAATGAGAAAAATGTCCAAAATCTAAAACCCCATCTGTGCATTTCCTGCAGAGGTAATTACGGCCATCTGCCCTGCTCATTTACTCGACATGAAGCTTCACACCATCAGCAACAGAGGAAAAGTTCTTGCTCTGTTCAGGCAGTCATCTATTTATGCATCACTGGGATGGCAACAAACGGATGTTCCTGCATGATCTAAGGGGCCATTGCAGATTTAGCAATCATCCAAACAGTTACAATCTATACATGCATCTCTTTAAGGCCCTGGGACAAAGCTCTGTGGTAGTAATGATGGATTATGATTTAGTTTTTTAGAAGAAGCTTCCTCCATTTGAATTCTGCTGCTTTTTCTCTAGTAATTCTTTTCTGCATTTTCTATTTTTAATAACTTTTATCCTGAGTTTTTGTTGTGATACATAGAAGTCTTTTTATGTCTAAATTCATGTTTTAAATCATTTAAAACAATTTAACTCTTTAACTAAATTCAACTTATTTAGCCAAAAGATGCAGTTTTGCAATCTTAGAGTTTTAACATATTGAGCCTTGTTTAAGCAAAGAGAAATATCATTATAGACATAAATTCTCTCAGCAACTAACAGTAGTGAATCCATCAAATTTTCCCCTTAACCTTGAGTGACTCCATACTTTTCTTTCACCACATTCTTAAAAGATGCTATTTTTTGTCAGCTCACTAAATACTCTATCAGAATACAGCCTCCATGTGTTTTCTCAGTAACAGTGTTGCTGCTTAGCTTTTTCAGAGGTATTTAGAGTACAAACCGGATTCCAAAAAAGTTGGGACACTAAACAAATTGTGAATAAAAACTGAATGCAATGATGTGAAGATGGCAAATGTTTCTATTTTATTCGTAATAGAACATAGATGACAGCTCAAAAGTTTAATATGAGTAAATGTAACATTTTAAAGGAAAAATATGTTGATTCAAAATTTCACAGTGTCTACAGATCCCAAAAAAGTTTGGACAAGTAGCAATAAGTGGCTGGGAAAAGGATATTGAGCAAATAACGAACAGCTGGAAGACCAACTAACACTAATTAGGTCAATTGACAACAGGATTGGGTATAAAAAGAGCCTCTCAGAGTGGCATTGTTTCTCTGAAGCCAAGATGGTAAGAGGATCACCTATTCCACCACTGTTGCGCAGAAAGATAGTGCAGCAATACCAGAATGGTGTTGCCCAGCGTAAAATAGCAAAGACTTTGAAGTTATCATCATCAACCATGCATAATATCATCTAAAGATTCAGAGAGTCTGGAACAATCGCTGTGCGTAAGGGTCAAGGCTGTAAAACGTTACTGGATGCTCGTGATCTCCGGGCCCTTAAACGTCACTGAACCTCAAACAGGAACGCTACTGTCAGGGAAATAACAGAATGGGCTCAGGAATACTTCCAGAAAGCATTGTCAGTGAACACAATCCGCCGTGCCTTCCGCCGCTGCCAGCTGAAACTCTGCAGTGCAAAGAAGAAGCCATTTCTAAGCAAGCTCCACAAGCTCAGCCGTTTGCACTGGGCCGGGGATCATTTAAAATAGAGTGAGGCAAAATGGAACACTGTTCTGTGGTCAGATGAGTCACGATTTGAAGTTCTTTATGGAACACTGGGACGCCGTGTCATCCGGACCAGAGAGGACAAGGATAACCCAAGCTGTTATCAACGCTCCGTTCAGAAACCTGCATCACTGATGGTATGGGGTTGCATGAGTGCTTGTGGCATGGGCAGCTTGCATGTCTGGAAAGGCACCATAAATGCAGAGACCTGTGTTCAGGTTCTAGAACAACATATGCTTCCATCTAGACGTCATCTGTTTCAGGGAAGACCATGCATTTTTCAACAAGATAATGCCAGACCACATTCTGCAGCAATCACAACATCATGGCTACGTAGCAGAAGGATCCGGGTACTGAAATGGCCAGCCTGCAGTCCAGATCTTTCACCTATAGAGAACATTTGGCGCATCATAAAGAGGAAGATGCAACAAAGAAGGCTCAAGATGATTGAACAGTTAGATCCTGTATTAGACATGGATGGGAGAGCATTCCTATTTCTAAACTGGAGAAACTGGTCTCCTCTGTCCCCAGACGTCTGTTGAGTGTTGTTAGAAGAAGGGGGGATGCCACACAGTGGTAAAAATGGCCTTGTCCCAACTTTTTTGGAATTTGTTGACGCCATGAAATTTGGAAATAACATATTCTTCCCTTAAAACGATACACTCTCTCAGTTTAAACTTTTGATCTGCGATGTGTGTTCTATTCTGAATAAAATATTTGTTTTTGACACCTCCACATCATTGCATTCAGTTTTTATTCACAATTTGTTTAGTGTCCCAACTTTTTTGGAATCCGGTTTGTAAAATCAACTTCATTACCAAACACAAAAAGCAAGCTCCCATTAAATAAGACTTAAAAGATCATCACACAAGTAATAGGCTTTGGAAGTTGAATTGACTTAGTAAAGAACTCAGCAATCTTTCTGCCTCTGCTTTTGATTGCAGAATCCACACAGACATGCAAATAACACATGAGCTCTTACAGCTCCTTGATTTCAACCAGATTCAAAGGTCTGAAAAAAAGAGAATGGCACAATTAACTGAAAACATTAACAGGAAAGAACATGTGTAACTGTTTAATGAAACATGCACTGATTCAAAATCAACAACATGTGGAAGAGTTGGAAGGTAAGGAAACTAAGTAAAACAGAAATCTCAGGCTAATCATGTTCCCATTTAGACAAAGTTAACAAAATGGAAACAATAGCAAAAAAAAAAAAATAATTTCCACAAGACTAAGAAAAATTAAGACAAAGCGTTCCAGCTTGTGACACTGAGTGAAAGTGATTTAGAGTGCTAACTTAACTTCTCAGCAAAAATTGAGGTTCTTTTCTGATTTTACCAAAATTATTACGCTACACTTTAGTGCCAAAACAGTGTATAAAAGTAAAATAATAATACCCAATTTTCCGGCCTATAGAGCACACCTCAATATAACCGACGGCCACCAAATCTTTTGAAAAAAACTTGAAAGTGTACATATATAAGCTACAATGGGCTATAAGCCGCTGATATCAACTGAACTGTCGCCCACCAAACCTGTAGGGGGAGCTCTACATATAGCCCATGGAGGAGGAAGGAGGAATGCTAGATTCTGTCAACTTGGAAAGCAGCAGAAAGAGTTTTGTCACTACCTAGAAGCATGATCCATCCTGTGCATGCAGAAACAGAATAACATCCGTGTAGGCAATACTTAGTTTTTCTTACTTTTTTTTCTTTTGTCTTCAGGAGGGGGTTTCCTTTGAATGTTTTTTTTATTTTTGCGTAAATATTGCATATTCTAAAAACCCCCCAAAAATGCAATACACTTAAATAGCCTTTCAAATGTTAGTGTGACTGCTCTGAGCATGTCCGATGATGACATCAGGCAACACAATGGAGAGAATGCAAAACGTATACATTTTTTCCAGATCATTCTTTAATGTTCCAAGTATATAAATAAATATTTTTAGTACCGTCATTACATAGCTTTCACCGACCTGGATCTTACTACTGTGTTTGCGCATACGCAGGATGGATCGTGCTTCCAGGACAGATCAGATAGTGACAAGCTTCAACTGAAAGATGGGGCTTCGGCAGCTCTTTAAATGGCCTGTGAATATATAGCACCTTTTTAAGTCAGGAGACTCCAAAGTGCTTTACAGTCATTCACCCATTCACGCACACACTCATTGTAGCCACAGCTGCCCTGGGGCTCGCTGACAGAAGTGAGGCTGCCATAAACGGGTGCCACCGGGCCCTCTGACCACCATCAGTAGGGAATGCAGGTGAAGTGTCACTGAAAGCCGGTGTCAACCCTTCGATTTCAGGGCAAACTCCTACACCCGACATCACTGTCGCCACTGTCAGCTATGCAGGAGTTGAGCCCAGTCTCTTCATCGGTTCCGCAGCTTTAATGCAGTTAATAAATGTCAAAATGTGTGAACTCAGAACATTTTTTCTCCGCCTGCCTAGCAGGTTCTTGTGCTAAATGAATTTTAGCCCCTTATTCTTTTTTTTTCCAATTTTCACTTCCTCATCTGGTGTTTAGCAAAAATCCACAGAAAAGCTGAACCTTCTTATAAGCCGTATGGTTCAAATCGTGGGAAATAAGTAACGGCTTATAGTCCAGAAAATACGGTAATTAGAAATACTGCTCTTGATCTCAACTTATATCAATCACTAAGTCTAATGAAGAACAAACATTTGTCTGTAGAATAATACATTTTTCAAAATAGCCAAAGCAGGTCTAAGGTTTAAGTGGACTTTGCCACTATTTAGGTTGTTAAATAATGGAACAATATATTACAGTAAACCTTATAATTAGGAACCTTATCTTGACAGAGTCACAATAATTTTTCTGCTATAATGGAAAATGTTTTCATGGACAAAGTAACTGTTTATTTAAAGATTATGTTTTGTCAGCGCATCGAATGCTATGATTAAATCTATGAAGGCCTCCACATAAACTGTGTTTTATAACCTCTAGATAACAACTCATTGGGATTTCAGGTTTCTTTGAATATGGATCACTAGGATTTTTGAAGATAATATTACTGTTGATTTATTCTGATTAAAAGAAGTTATTACTGTTTAATAACATTATTGGGTTGTAAGTTTACTTCTCAGGCTAACTGGTTGTCGCTTCCTCATTCTTTTCTTTTTAACATAATTTATAACTTTAAGTAGAATTGAGTTTATTTTATTCTGTGTTTACTTAAAACATTAGCAGAAAATAGGTTTTTCCTTATCTGCTGAGGCCAGAAAAGGAAAAAAAAAAAAAAAGACAGATCTGCTTAAAATGAATGGTCAAGTGTTTATCTATTATATTGTCTGAAAAGTGTAACTCTTTTAGCATGATTCATTGTAGGTTCACTTTTTTTTTTTCATTTATGAAAATAAACAAATAGGACATTTCTCCTTAGGGTCTCATGAATGAAAATAGCTATAATCTTATTTGAAGGTCCTAAAGAAAAACATTTTAAATCATTTTCGAAAACAGATCCAACTTTTCTAAAATTCTCATATTAAACTAACAGTTTTGTGATTTTAACAGCTGAAAGTACAGCAGAAAAGAAAATGTGCTGCTGGTCTGTGAGTTTTAAATTATAGCATGTCTGGATGGCAAACTCACATTGCTGGACAAGGATCCCGGTAACAGCTGGTTTGGTTGTCATCAGGTCGAGTTGAGGGGTCGCAGAAATGCTCCTCAGCAATCCCAGTAGTCTTTTCCACACAGTAAACTATCTGCCTCTGTACACCTTGAGACCAGGTGGGAGGAGAAAAAAAAACAACCTTTTTTGACAGGGTCATGACAAAGAAAAGCAGCAGTATGTTTTAAAGTTATATTCATGGGAAAAAGAGCTGTACTGGAAGCGGTGGAAAAAAACTAAAAGGAACCCGGCTGCTATAATAGAGTTGAAGGGGGGAAGCACAAACTCATAGATTAGATCAAGGGTCTTCAACATTTTCCAGGCCAAGGACCCCCAAACGGATGGCAAGATGGTGCGGGGACCCTTAGTTATATACTGTATATTGTATGAATTTCTGTTATATCAAACTGGTCCTATAGTCACTCTATTACAGATGGAGTCATGTAACGAAAGTAATTTCGCCCTGGGATTATTAAAGTATTTCTGATTCTGATTATTCGTTGATGGGACAGATGTTGTGAATGAAACGGTGCCCAGTTTGAAAGAGCTCCTGTGTGTCGCTGAATGTGTGCATTATTGACTGAAAGACATCTTCTTCTTCTATTTATCTGTTTACTACAGTGTGTTGAATTCATGATAATTTGGATTTAAAGATATTTCAATTAGTGGAAGAAATTGCAGGGGGGAATATAAAAAAATGTCTAATCAACCCAAACTTTTGCAACCCACATGCAGTACCACTGTGCACCCCCTAGGTGTCGTGGACCCCCTGTTGAAGACCTCTGGATTAGATGATTATTTTTATTGAAGCAGGGGTTCCAGCAGTTAGCTTGTTGGGTGAATACAAATGTATGTTGATGCAATTAGGAGAAGGAATGGTTGAGAGGCATCCATTGCTGGTTACGATATGAGGGTTCTCCCTCTGTCTTGCTGAAGTTTTGTCGAGGTTGTGAGATTTAGTTTTTCAGTTGTTTATTTTGAAACCTGGCAGCGGACTTATCTGATCTGTCAGATTTTTCACTGACTCGCTGCATACTCAGGTTTTCAGATTGCTATATGAACATATCTTGCAAAGAATAACCATGACTGCAATAAAATTAAACTCTGGTAAGATTAAAGGTTTCTGAGTTAGATTCTAATAAGGTCAACTAGATGTTGATTATCCTTCAAAATTTAGTGGAAGACGTTTTAAAAACACCTACCATGTACATTTAAACTCTACCGTAGAGACATCAAATGATTAAATGCCCAACCTTAAAGGAGGAAAATAAAATAAAAAAGATTGAAGAAGAATGGCTTTTTGTCAGCTTTACACAAACTGTGTTGACTATTGCATGAAGCACACTATGTAAGCCCAGAGGTCAATAAAAAAAAAAGAGGCATACTCATACCTCATAAAGCATTTCTCAAATTGTAAAGGCTAATCTGCTAATCCTGTTATTAACTGAAATGAAGGTGCTCGAGGATGAAGTGGAATTTTGAAAGTTAATTCTGTGCCTGAGTAAGTTAAAATCACCAAAAAAATGAGTTTGGCCTATATACAAAACTTATTTTTTTCTGTAACAAAGAAACAAGCATAATAAACTGCAAATTCAACTTCTTGGCTACATATGTAGCGAGTTTGGTGTCCATGTTACAAGCAATGCAGAAATCATAGCTGTTAAGATTGAAGAAAAACCCAGGTGAACTACTACTGTGCCATTTTGGAGCAGTTTGGCATTTGGAATGCTGTTATATATTTCATTATAAAAATACAGTTTTCCTCTCTAAAATCAAAGGTAGAACAGATTTTATGTGCTTTGCTTGGTTTTGATGTTTTTGGAGTAGTTTGTTGAGTGGTCAGCTGCAAATAATCAGTTTTGCACATATGTTTCACTTTAGTGAAAGTTAATTGATTCTCTTGCTGGCTTTCATTAGCAATGCATTGATTGGCGCTGCCACCTGTGCTGTTAAAACCAGGCCCACTGAAACAAAGTTTTTGTGCTTTTTGGCATGGTGTGGGAGCTGTGGTCGGAGGATATTAGAATGAAGTAGATAGTCTTATAGAAGAGTCAAGATCTTCATCAAGTGTGTGTCAGTCTCAGAGCTAGTGAGTTAAAAACTTATTGTTGCAAAAGAGCTGCAGCCCCCCTTGATATATATATAGGCCTATATATACACATATTTATATATTCTGAGTGTCACAGTTGTACAGACCTCCAAATTCAAATGCAATGCATCAACACTGTAAATCAAAACTAGATAGAAACAGCTTCAAGGGTTTGATTCATTTGAAACTGGAGCCTGACACACATTATAAACATGTTTATGAATGATATATTATCTGAGCAAGAAAGCAGTAAAAATCCAATGAATAAAAGAAAAAAAATATATAATAAAAATAAAACCTGATTCTTAAATTTTTGTTTTTATGTGTCTGCCAGACCCCCAGACCCCCTCTTGTATACATTAACAACTTAATTTTTCCCAAGTACTTCATCTGGTATTTCCGGATTTGGGCTGCATGCTGAACACACTGCTATGCTGAGGGGAAATCTAATAAATACCAGACATACGTCTACTTGGCTAGAAACACATTTTAGTAACTGGCCCACTTTAAAGTGCCACTTTGACGTTTCAAACTGTATTACACACAGAAGTACATCTGAGGACACCTCTCCTCAAGCTCTGACAGATTTATCTCCAGCTCCTTCCTCTCACCCTCTTGAGGGGATGTTCACTCTGCCAAAGCTGGAAACAACTAACAACCCCGTGCTTTGATCCGGCTCAGGGCCATAGTGCCCATCTGATCGTGCACCATCCCAGACATCATATAAAAGGTCACCAGAAGTGGGTTAAAATGAAAGCCAGATAGAAAACAAGTAAAAGAGAAAAGCAACGAAAGGAGTTCTGGGCTAAATATATGTTCACTAATAAATATTACTCTGTAATCTAGCTCAATGCTAAATATTTTTCTCTGATGCAATTTGCATGTGGGTACAAGGGCACACTCAGTTTTTGCCCGACAGTGATAAAACAAGGATTTTCTTCCCTCTGTAATCAACAGCTGAAGTAACGACAAACATGGTTATTAAAATCAGCTATAGGGCAAATATTCTGCTTGGATGCCTACTCAAATATCTAATTAAACTTATGGTGTGACCATGCGGCAACCAGAAGTAAATGTTTTTAGCAGGCTCTTCTATTTAACCATTTGTTGGCAAAAAGAAAAAAAAAAAAAACTATTAAAATTTTAGATTTTAGATAACAAAATAATTATTGGTTGGTAAGTACTATAAAACTGATCAGATGTTATTATAATTATGGTAATGAAAGTAACAATTCAGAGCCAATGGGCAAAAAATCTGAAGGCTAGTTAATAATAAATGCCCTAAAATTAGAGGCCATTTTGCATCTATATCTGTGAAGCTAGTTATAGAAATTCAAACCAGGCACAAATCCTGAATGAAAAAAAAAAGGAGTTTGTTTATTTTAAGGGCAAAAGGAGTCCATCCCGAATGACTAAGCTTCTCACTCTCCAATCTCAGACAAAACCCTGACACCCTGCAGAGAAAACTAATTTTGGCCACTTGATGAGGGCAGGAATGTAGGTCTTTCACACAGGCATGAAATAATCTCACCTGAGTCACTTCAGGAAAAAATAATCTGATTTGGGACACAACTGTTTGCAGTGTGAACTTTAATGTCTGCGATGTTGACCAAGCTCTGGGCATACAGGGCCCTAACAGTCAGTCTCAAAGGGCCCCTGAGGGGCCCTGTAGGGAGTATTAGGGGGTTGTTTATTGTCAAGGCTTTCAAAATTTACAGCACCTAGCAATGTGGCCAGTTACAGTATCTACTGAAGTATTCAGCTGTACTTGTTCGATGCAGATGATTTATATAAAAACAGTTAAAAGGATGAAGCCAAAAACAAACATATCCCTGCAGGACATGTCTAAAGACACAATCCTGTCCTCGACTCAGATAAACGCCCTTTCGGATGCTAAGGATAGTTTAGTATTCACAAGAGAGAAAGGGTTTAAATACTAAAACATTCTTCAGAGGACATGTTTTGTCACCCTTAGAATTGCAAGGATGACAAAAAATGTAATCAGGAGGGTCCCAAAGGCTTTAAACATCACTGGCATAACAAGGTGATCAACATAACAAGTTTTCAACAGAGCACAGTGTTAAATATTTCATCATCCCTCTCTAAGGCTCCTTATCAGTCCAGTGATGACTGGCTCTTTTAACAAGACAGAACTGCAGTTTCAAATGCCCATCTGTCAGAGGACTTTTTCCAGGAGAAAAAGATTTCTCTGGGACATGTTCCCATGTCAACCTACTTTAAATACTATAGAAAACATTTAGGCTCTTTGGCTTGGGAGCTTCTGAAAAAGTGTCTGTTACAGACAGTAGATGCTTTTCAACCAAAAGACTAATGTTTCCACTAGCAACAAACATGTCTTAAAAAGTTTAAGTGATCAACAAGAGTTATTGGTGTACTGTCCAAAAAGTCATTTAGAGAAGCTCTGAAATCCTTTTTTTTCTGTTTCTTATTTTTTCCTCACCACCAGCCTGTATAAAGCCCCTGTCACACCATGACGATTTAGCCAGCGTATGCCTGACGTCTCAAAATCTTCTAAAAAATCCCCTCCAACTTCCAGCCCCACCTTCTTCCCGGGCGTGCATTTTTTTTTTTACACCGACTCCACCCTTTCACTGAACTACAGGGTCTGACCAGGAGATGGTGCTTCTCTTTAGATCTAAATGTCCGAAAATCATGACAGAAAGAATATTTTAGTATAAAGATTGATGTTTAAAAAGGAATTGTAGGGGACCATCCAAGGACCAGCAGAGGGCCCATCAAGGAAATTAAGGACATTCTGAATGGCTTCTACTGTACATAGAGTATTCATAAAAAGCCCAGAACTTATGTCCAACCACAGTCTCACTTATGCATAATACACAGCAGCATAATGCCCATGAAATGTCACAAGCCAGTGTCCTGAGGGGGGCAAAAAAAGAGTACGGAGGCAACCGGCCTGCATAAAAAGATTTCTTTGATCGCGGTATTAACCTAGCTGCCGATTACTGCCCACCCAAAAAAAGAAAGAATAAAAAAAAAAAAAAAAAAAAGAAGGTTTGCAGTCGCAGCAGATTCAGCATGTCTGCTAGAAAGTCTGAAGGTCGTGGCCGTGGGCGTGAAAGCAAGGAGGATCCATTACTCTCACCTTCTCTCTCACTCTACAACTGGAACAGAGTCAAATTAATGAGATCATGCTTATGTTGGAGGACAGCTAGTATGTATTCCCATCTAAGCCTTGCTGGATCCTCCATCTCTAAACCATGAAGCCTGGAAGAGAACTGACGGTTTCCTCCTGTGAACCTCCTTTTATACCAAAACGCTGCCAATATACCATGGAACAATAGCTGTAAGTTAGAAACACATTCAGTGGTCATCTGGAACATGTCAGATGCGTTGATATGTGTTAGAGATAAGTTCTCTTTTAGTTAGACATAAGCTATGCACAAGTTACTCATAGGTTTCGGATAAAATAGACACCACGACTTATGAGTAACTTACACTTAAGGTAAGTCAACAATCAGATAATTTACCTGTAACTTATGCCCCACATATTGCATATGCTGGCATACGTCCATACGTACTTGCCGTAAATTGACATGTGCTAGCGTGTTTCAACCGGCTCAAAACGTATCCAACTTATATGCCAGAGTCTTTGCCAGATTTTTCGTACGTCAGCATATGCTGGTCTAAATCATCAAGGTGTGACAGAGACTTAAGTTTATACTTCAAGTCGTTTTCACACCTCATAGTCCGATACATTCAGAATGATTGGGGATTACAATTGCAACATTGTTACTATTTTAATCTGTCGCAGTTTGCATTCACATGTCAGTTTGTAAAAATAAAACAATCCTTTTGACCCACCTGTTTACACCGTCGCCACCGGTGGCACCAAGAACCACTGTAGAAAGACGGTTGATCAACAACACAAAACTACTTCATTGGCTGCCAAAAGGAAAACATCATGGAATGACAACAGATTTCAGCAGTGTTGTGGCTATACTGTCTTTTGGCAAGTTTGGCATTCACATCTCCATTAATAATGTGCGAGATTTTCCTTCAATCAAGCTGAGACCTAGGTTTGAAGGCGGAACAGAGATTTCTTTTTTTTGGCCACTTTAGAGTTCTATTGTGCATTCATACCACCTTAAACGAAACAAAATTTCTGACCAAACGATTAAAGCCATGTAACCCACCCATTCTAAGAAAATGACAAAAAACTATATATATTAAAGCATTAGAAAACTGAAATTAGACACAGGGGAAAACTCTACTCTTAAAGCTTAAAATTAAGAGAAAACTGAAATTTACAAGCATCTAAAACAATACCATATAACTCTTTAATGTTTTTGATTGTTTGTGCCCTTCTGTCTTTCTCATCTCTTTGATAGTGGTTGAATTTCTATATATGTATAACATAATGTGCCCATAACGGTTTGAAGTTTGAAATATTTCTATGTTTCTATGTTTTAGAATACCAAAAATCTCAAACAATCATTCCTTATGTGCTCCCTTTCATCTTCTGCAGAGGATATGTCTTTATGCGATGATGAAAAACGTGTCAATTTCAGAAATGTGTCATAATAATTTATTAATATTCACATTAAAAATACAAAAAATGTAAAAAACCGAGAGTAAGAGTTCAGAGGAAATACATATTTATATATAAAAAAGTGCTACTGCAAACTCATAGCATCCCTGCGAGAATCAAATTAAACTCTAACAGCAAAGGCATCTCAGTGCGAAGACTTATCTGCTAAACAGCACATAACATGTTTCTTCATGTCTCCACCCTACGGTAGAATTACGCCACTAGCTGCCAATAATCATTTCTGGGATGTACAAAAGTAGAACCACAACAAGAGCCTTAATGGACATGTTTCTCCCCATTCAGGTTAATAACAAAACTCTGCAGCAAATAGGGAAAAAATAAAAAGGCTGGTGACGCAAGTTTGAGGAGGTCAGGCTCGCGCATTAGTGTAATGTGGAGAAAAGAAATCTCATTTTTGGGTTTAAGAGCAAATTGATGCAAGTTGTGAGGGGAAACTGAGGATAGTTATACAATTGGGCACCTGAATTGTAACATCGCTTCCATACAAAAAAACAATCAGCGTTCAAGTGGCCAGAGTCCCAAAGTCATTAGGTGTGATCGAAGAGGAGAAACTGGTGGTCAGATGAGTGACCGCTTAAGTTTCCAACATGTGGCTGTACGAATAAGAAACGGTAGAGGGAGATGGTATAAGAGTACAGTTTGCACCACCATCAGCTACTGCATCAGACAAGAGGATAAATTCAGTAGAATAAATATCACTTCAGCATTTCATCAGAGAGAAAACTGCTCTGAAGGTGAAGGGTCATCAGCACAGATTTTCTCTGATGTTTTCTAGTCTGTCTAAAAGCAGCATTAGGATAAATCTATGTGGAATTCTGCTTTACATTTCCATACCTGGGGTATTGTAGCAAGCAGATCAAAACCAGCCTTCAGATCTTGAATTTTCTTGCCACCCATAGAGCACATATCTCTAATATGGCTAGAATACATTATGCCTTGATCACAGCATACATCAGTAAGATCAACCTAAGCAAAAAAGTCAGCTCAAGAAACATTTTAAAATGTTGTCTATGTCACTTTTAATTAATTCTGGGGAATATGTCACATTTGAACTAGGACTAGGCTTAACCTAATTTCTCTTACCTCTCCCACAAGTAACGCTGCATTCAGTCCATGATCCATATTTCCAGAAGTAAGTGTACCCAAAGCTGTCGTCATCTTTGGAAGAATTTTGACTGACTGTGTACTCATATCGCACACCTGGATTGGTTTCCTGAAAGAGAAGCTGGAACACAAAGAAAAATTTTGACAAAGGCCCTTGTCTGGATAATTATCCACTCTAAACTCGACAAACTGAAATTAGATGTTCTGATTTAGTCAGCAGCCTTGGCGCCAAAACTGGAATCAACTTGTCAGTCAAACCTAAGCCAAATGATAATTTTGAAGTAACAAATTTGAATATTTTTGTTCTGAACTAAGAAACTATACAAGAGAATAAAAAACAAACAATGAGCACTGCTTAATTTATTCTTAAACGTTTGCAAAATTAGCACACAAAATAAACTTATATTAGAAATATATAAAAATTATATAATATTAATATATAAAAATATATTATAATGTTTCATATTTTATTAATATGAAACAGATAACTTTTTATGTAAACAAAAGGCTAAAACACTATATCTTAAAAGGTATGTTGTATAATTGTGGGGGAGGGAGGACTATTATAATACTTAAAATACATTTACAACAAAAAAATGGATTCAAGTATTAATTAAATTGCTAAATAAAATAAATTTACATCTATTTTTATTGTGTTATATTATCTATTTTAACCAAGAGAAAGCAGAGGAATCCATAGTTGATAGACTGAGAGGCTGTGTGTGAATCTATTACACAGAAACAAATAAACATATTAAAGATTATGTCTACATTATATTTTCATCCCGCTTTGTAGTCCACGGCACAATCAATGGAAGCTTTCTCACAAGTGATTTTTTTTATTTTTATGGTGAAACAAACTAGTCAGTCTTATCTTTCATCTGACTGCCGACAGAATTAGCTGCAGCTGCAAGGAGAGACTGACTGCCTGAGTGACGCCTATCAGTCCCTTTGAATCAGGAGGGGCACACAGCTGCCTCGGATGCTTGCTGGGGACAGTGAAATCAGAGCGATCAGAGCTTTCATGTTTCGCCAAAGTCTCAAACAACACAGAGGAAAGTCACTAGGCTCTTCATCAGTCTCCTTAGGGGGAAGAAAAAAAGCGAGATCTGAAAAGTCACTGATTAGTTGGCAAACAGTATTGGATCAGAGTAAGCAAGGCGAACATTTGAGTGGAGCGTTAGCCCTCCCATCGGAACTCAAGTCGTGTGTGAAGGAAGAAGAAATTAACAACAAAATGTTTGAGTTGGAGTATCTCTGTAGATTTAAACGAACCTTAATAATACAGTGAAGAGGCAGGTTAGAAGTTGCCAAAGAAGTATCCCACTAGCGGCAGCAGACTAGTAAATGTACATAGTCTAATGACAGAAAGGATAGGGCACAGAAACGTATCTCAGATTTGTCCGCTAAAGAGAGGACTTTATCTCCAAGACCTCAGAGCAAAACTCAACATTTGGACACCTGTAAGCATGCAGGGCATACTGGCTGTAGCTCAAAGAAAGAGCATGGTGCCGCCGGGCACTTTCATATCTATTTGAGCAGTTTAACATAACCATAATATTAAAGTGAGTATATGACAATACAATTTTTTATTATATTTTAAATAGGCCAATAGGCTCAAGGTGTTTTGTAAAAAAAAAAAAAAAAAAAAAAAAAAACATTTTCACAGTATCCAGTTTTCAAAATGACTTGCAGTGGCCCTGTGTGGGATTATCTACACCTAGTCCACCTCATTACATCTGACTTGTTTGGAATTATAATACTAATTCGATACCAGCACCAATTTCAAGTTGCCAACTTTGTTTTTATCTTTGAAACATGGACACATTTTTTTGGTACATCAGTCAGTTTTCATCCAAACTTGCTCAAAATTAAGATAATTAATTGCTTTAAAGGAAGATTTAAGTCTTACTTATTTTGTTTGGTTGAATAAAGTTTTAAGATTGGTGTGAAATAGTTTTGACCCAGATTTCTTACCAGCTTTGCAAATTCGGAAATTGAAATCATTGAAATTTCCACAAGGTTCGCTGATTCTATACTCATACAGTAAATTCCTGCAACTCAATTTCAATTGGAAACGCACTAATTAAATGACCAGTAATCAAACATTTTCCCTCAATCTTTGAGCTTGAGACACATTCAAACACTGATAAATATGGTATTTCTATTTTATGAAATTTATCAAAGCTCAGAAATCCCACAATTATAAATCTAAAACATAAACCTAATAAGTTTGGTGAAAATCATATTAATTTTAGTGAAATCATCTGTGGAGTCATCTGCTTTTTTTTAGGGAACCAAATACAATATATTTTAAAGCAAATTAATTTAAAAGTAAATTTGCATTGTGCAAAAAAAAAAATAAAAATAAAGTTTTGGCTGGGGACAGAACATTTAGCATTTTAGATCTGCTAAAACTTCAGTACATGCCAGAAAACAAACACCAAGCTACAGATGATTGGTTTGGGTTGTTTCTGTTCATATATGGTGTTTTGCTTTCAATAGTCATGAATAAATAACATATTTTCACTTTGATTTAATTTGACCGAAGGTCCTTCATGCATATATGTTTTGATTTATTTAGATACAGACATGCAAAACCGCAGACATGCTGCCACTCTAACTAGAGGAGGCTGTCTCTTTAGAACACATAAGAAAAAGCCACCCAGGGTCAGTTTTTTATATTGTATATCCATGATCTAAGCGAGGCTCTTAATGTTTGTCTTGATCTTTTGTAAGTGTCAAAAAATAGACTTCTATCTTTGTAGAATAACCTTTCCACACTTCACAGATTGATAAACAGAAACAATTGCGGTTCTGAAGTCATTGTTTTCTCCGTAACAGTTTATTGCCTGATAACATTCTCTATCCATCACCGTAAATAGAAACAGTACATGAAATATTTCTTGATTTTTGATTATGTGTGATAACTTGTTAATCAGAATTATATGTGTGCTTAAATAATACTTTAGGTTTGCCTTGTTACCTTTTTGCTGCTTGCATCCCTTTAAACATAAATAACATTGAGTTAAATAGTGTAAATCATTTGCCTTGTAAGCAAGATGAATTGTGATAAAATTTGTGAATTCACAAACAGTTTCCCAGAAACCAACAGCTGTGTTAGCCTCAAAACAGAAATGATTTGGACCAGTGCAATGCAGTGATATGTATGACGACAATGTATCAACCAGAGCCAGAAGCAAAACAAACATGGCTACGTCAGTTTTAGTAAAAATGTTCCTTTTGAAAAACAAGCCAAAGGTCCCTGATTTTTATGGATGGAAAGATGTTTGGGCATTCCTCCTAACAGATTTGGTAAGACTTTGATGTATCAGTTAATGCTGCCAGTTTTGAAACAAATCAAGATTGTGATTGGCTAAAAAACCCTACGAGGCAGGCAGGTACCCAATCAGCTCAAAGAACTGTACCAAATGTCCTTCCCATTTGCAAAAACTTTCTACATGAGGCTTTCCAGACTGATGTGTAGTTCACCTTGAATTTAACAGAGTCAGACAGGCTTATGCAACATTACTTAATTATTGACAGGGGTAAAAAGTGTGGAGAAAGTATCCTACCTGAATCCACAGTGGCTCCATCGTGGGCCCAGGCGATGTCAGATTTTCCAGTTGTCCCGTCCTCTCATAAGTGAATACTGCTCCTGCTGCCTTGTATTCTCCATTCCACTGGATGGTCCAGCCTCCATTTAAAAAATACCTGCTGGGGTTGTCACTTCGCAGCGCCAGGAAGTTCCCAGCTTCAGCCACCTCCTCAATCAGGATATCCCAGGCTCCCTCTGGGATCAGGCCGACATCTACATAGCCTACATGACATCACGTCAGGAAGAATAAACAGCAAAATACTTTATGTATAAAAATGAACTCATAAAGGAACACAAAATATAGGATTTTAGGTGGAGGACATAAAAAAAAAGAGTTAAAGCCAAAATTTCTTTTTTTGTAATTTTTTTATGCATAAGTTGTGAAAACCTGCAACTGAAGAAAGAATGCTAAGTATGAAATAACACCCCAGCGATAGCATTACAAAAACATCCCCTAAACAGCACAAAAATTAAAAATTCTAGTTGTTTTTTGACCTTATTATTACTGTATACTGCATAAATTAACTTCCCATGTTTCTTAAAAAAGCCTGATAAACATAACACCTACCTATTCCTTCGCTCTTTTTAAATGTTCTCCTGACAGTTGTGCAGGTGGAGCCGTTACCATTGCAGACTCCACAGCGATCCTCGACAGAGTTGGAGTTAATCACATAATCGCAGCCGATATTCTGAAACAAACAGGCCCCGAGGTGTCACACAGCATCCTAACCAACATTGAGGTCGACATTTGTGGGAGGGAACCTTTATCTTTTTCCCCATGGGAGATTAACTCTTGAAAAGGATGAATTTATATGCACATTACCACAAAAAAAGACTTGGCAATAAACAGCTCAGTCTGCGTCATATAAGCTATAAATTCAAGCGGAGGGTGACACAAATAAAAGCTTTCAATTTCCAGGTCTTCACTGTTGCTTTACTGTTTTTATTTTACTGCTTGCACTCTAGCTGCTCCCACAAGATGCAGAGAAAGGCACAATTTACACCTGATTTACAAAATCAAGGGAGAAAGAATCCCTCAAAGGAAGACCTATTTAAATTCTTGCTTTATTTTTTTTTGTTTATTTTATTTTTCCTTATGAGGATGAGAAAACCTTTTTATACCAGTAACATTTCTGTTGAACAAATAACCATCATGCATATCATGCAACTGAATTACAAATATCATTGCAGTGTCTGTTAAGATAAGTTGTTTAATTTGAACCCGAATGTTTAATTAGAATCTGTAACTTAATAATAAATCAAGTTTTAAAATTTTTATTTTTAAAATAGGAGTTATTTCAAGAATGCAATATACTGTAACATGTATGATAAAATAACTCAGTCAAACTACATGAAGGAAAAATAAAAGCCAAATAAACACAGGTGGGCTTTAAAAAAGTACTTTGCAATAGGCAAGAAGGTAATTTAAAGACCATGGCGGTGAGTGACAAAAAAATGTCACTAAATGTCAGAAAACAAGGTCTGACTGGTGTCCACTCTGCATACAAACATTCTCTATCAGTAGCTGGCATTTTAGCCCAGGGTGATAGCAATGTGTTGCGCTCTCGCCTATCTAGACAGATAACAACAGCTCATTTTCCAATCAGCGTGCTCATCGTCAAGCAGAATGTCAAATACACAGCACATGGCTGCAGAGAAAACAGGGTGAGGGTTAACTCGAAAGTCTGCAAAACTAATCCTCAGATGGTTTTAAGAAACTAAGGATATCTCTGAACAAGTTTGAATTAATAATGTTGCCTGGGTGTGACCAGTGGGATCAGTCAGTAAGAAAAAGGAGCAGGCCCTGCACAGCGCCAAATCAGCTCATGAATCGAGAGGTTTATGAAATATCAAATCTAAGGGCACAAAGGGACTGTGACTTTGCAAGATTATGCCAAAGATCACACCATTCTTTTTTAGAGAAGCTGCCAGACTTACCACAGATTACAAGAAAGATATTTTTGGCTGTGGAAATATTTCTGCAACTGCAAAAACAACAAGAGTCACTGGTTTGGGAAATAAGCTGTGTCCTATTTCTCGGTATACAGTAGGTATATTTCAGACTCTATCCAAGATGGTCCACAATAAGATTGCAGTTTATTTAGAGGGTGTTTGTTCTGTATTTTTGTAATGCATTTATGTATCAAAATCTGGAAAAAAAACCAATTTCATTTTACTGATAACATTATTATAAGAACAATAATAATTGTGTTGTGGTATTAAAGCACCAGCAGTGCTTGGAACTAGATGTTTCTTTTTTTAAAATAGATTTAGTGAACTAATTATTTACTATTTTGCCAAATTTTCTTTGTAAATATTATGGCATCATTACAATCATGGTGTTTTTGCACAAGGTTATTACAATGCTAAGATATGGATTAGAATTACAACTTCCATGTAATGGATCAGATTACGGCTGTGTGTTGACACAGCCTCTGACATTCTATCCTGTACCGTTTCCTGTGCACTTTTAAAACCACCAGGACTGTCTTTTTCTTCCTCTTCCATTGGTGACCACAGCTCCGGATGGAAAGACCTAATGGTTCAGCTTGATACCCTATTCCATGTGGTGCAGAAATGTTGAAGCTGTGGACTGTTTTTGCTGGTAAAAAGTACTGTATCCATCTTCAAAGAGGAAGCTTTGAGCTAATATCCAGCATCGCCATTGCAGGTACCGCCCACCTTTACAGCGGATGAGGAGTTTTTAAATCTCTGCCTGTAGATTGACTAAAACTACACCTGGTTCCACCCTGGCCAGACATTCTGTACCGGAGATGCCTTCTGCACTGTCAGTGGTCCTGACCTGCGAACCGCTGAGTTGCTGCCTGCCTGTTGCGATATTAAGCCAGTTCTCAACCCAACAGGAATCAGTCGGCGGCAGTCACGGGAACCTGCTGTGAGCTAAGTGCATCGTGAAGATAGTATCTTACCAAATCTCTAGGTGAAACAAAGGTTTACGATCCTACAATATCGCCTGTGCTGTATATGACTTTTGGTGCGACATGTTGTGGTTCCTGGCCAGGGGTAACCATCCAAGCCTAGCCGCCAACATGCAAGAATAAGCCTAACCTGCAGTAGCGTGTTTGTGCCTATTAGTTGCCCTGACAACAGAAGCGTTGTGTCCCAACACTACCACTAATTTTATACACATTTTGATGCCTTCACATAAAATGCATTGCGTTTATTGTGCTGTGACCAGACGTCCCCAATTGGACCGTTTTATGAATGAGGGGGGAAATGTTGTGTACCCTGTTATTACAATAGAAAAAGCGTGTAAGCATGCTGCACACAGAAACAGCCGTTAACTACCTGATTGGCAGCTGTTAACGTATAGATGAGGAGCAGAGCGCACAACTTTTAAAACAAACTAGGAAGAAGTAAAAGTTTGTTATCATAACTAGTCACAGCTGATGGGGAGCTGCCCTGCGTTATGGTGATTGCTTTAATTGGTTCATTTAATTTGGATTGGGCTGATCATTGCAAGAAATGTTTGGTTCATTCCTAAGTTAATAAAAAAAGGGATTTGCTGTGTTTTGTTTTAATAAAGGTGAGGACTGGGAATGAAACATAGACCAAGCTTATCACCAAAAACTAAGACAAGAAAATTGGCTGCATCTGGCATTAGTAAATAGACTCAGATAGGCTAAAATTAAACAGAATGACTCCTTGTAAGGCAATATCTTCAGATAGTCATTGTAAGTTGTTTTGCTGTTTTATAGTTGTGATTTATGAGCATAGACTTCCAGGCTAGGTCTACTTTATTACCACTCAGTTTGGACATTTGAAAGTTGCTCAGTATAAAATAATAAGAGGCAGTAAAAGGGAAACTGAATTAGCCAAGATCTGCATGATCTGAGAATGATGGAGGAATAGAAAACCACCTGTTGAATGTTCATTTATCAGGTTGTTTTTATTTGTAGCTCCAAATATTGTGATGATTTGCCTTTTAAGCATTTAATCAGATGAGATGATAATAATCATCATCATCGGAAGAAGACAGAAAAGACTGGATGACACTATCGATTGATTAATTTGATTAATCTTAGGAAATACTAATAGTATGGAGAGGCATATTCCTGAATTTTATACTTGATTTTTGTTCTTTAAATATTGATAAATATGTACAGTAAAACTGGATGAAAGCATCACTGTCCAAGCTTCCTATTTTAATATTGATGATATTATTATTTTCTTTTTTATATATGAACTGGTAATGTCCCCAGATTTGATTTCAGAATTCTGGTCACCTTAGTTTATTGGTAATAATTCATTACTGAATTGAGTAAAACATGATTAATTTGTCTCCAAATCCTGCGACTCGACCTGTCAATCACCCACTGGGGCGAGTGGTGGCGAGCAAGTACACTTCCTGTCACCTCAGGTCGCAGCTTGGCTGGGCCCTGGGCCGTCGTATACATTTGTACTGCAGAGGAGCTACTGCACAGGTACAACTTTTAACGGGAGTTAATGGGCAAACATTAGGGAGAAAATAGGTCATCAATCAAATGAATTATGGAATGACGCTTTACTAGTCATTAGAGATTAAGTATTTATCTTGCAGATCTAAAAAAAATATGTAAATATATTTCAACATTTTTTATTTTTTTCTTAATCAGGGTCATTGGGTGGGTGGCCTCTATTGGTCAGCCGCCGCTGGATCTGAATATTATCAAAGACCGCTTAAAGGACTCATTTCAACTCTTTTTCCGTTTACTGGTTCTTTCATTTATCCTGTGTTAATTCCAGTAGCTTTTAGTGTTTGCATAGTTTATTAAACATAATAATAGGTGACAGGTATTATTAGGTTTAATAGAAATACTATTATTTTAATTAGTGGTTGTCTGTGAATACTTTATAACAGTGACTGATTGTCTGTAAGAGCTGGACCAACTTCCTTTGAGCTAACAACTCTGATAGACAGAGACAAATATTTTCCTCGTGGTTATTGATTTAACTGAATTACTACAAAGAGCAACTTACATTTACTGATGGCAAAGACAACTTGGATTTAAAAAGTCGGTCCAAAACGTCCAGCCACAAAGAAAAGTGGTAAATAACACCAGGTAATGAAGCAATTTGTCATTTATAAGCATTTAACTAAAGATTGTTACCTTGTTTTACCCTTGATTTGAATGAAACACTAATTAACTATGACTTCCAATTAATTTCCAGTTCCAATTATTATTATATATGTATAATCTGCTGGTAAAATTGCACAACAGCTATGACCTCAGATCTGTAAGTCATACAACAAAATTAAAGCGCAGGTTGAAACAGGTGATTGCGTACCTGACAAATCCCATTGATGCACATATCTCTACTTTTGTTGTCTTCGTAACAAGGGGTCCCATCGACGACGACGTCCCGCATTTTCTCAGAGAAATTTTCGTTGTAAGGACGGCAGTGAAGTTCACATGGGTTCGCTGTCAGAAAAACAGTGTTTATATATAAAAACATTTATATAAAATAGGAATAAACAAAACATGTAACCTGAATTATTCCATGCAGAAAAGCTAGATGAGAAAGGAAATGGCTACAAAAGATTGCAACTGTAACATTTTACTTGAAAAATGCAGGAATACAGGAAACAAACCTTGGTTTGACAAACTCACCTTTGTTGATAACTGCATGCCACTTGTAAAACTTGCCCTTATATGGCAGAGTGTTGAAGTGAGTACACTGAATGTCTCTGAAGGAAGGCTTATCAGGTTGACATGGCCTGGTGTTACAGATCTTGTACTTCCTGCGTACTCCCAGACAATACTTTCCTCTGTGTTTTGGACTGAAGAAAAATTTGAAGTTAATTTTATATTTAGAATCTCTATATTCTATGTAGAGGTGATAAGAAGTTATTCTATGGAGAAGGATACTATAAAACAGAATTATAAGATAATGTAGAAAAGAAAATTCTAAATTGGAAGTGTCAAATGCCTAAATGAATAGAAATTACTATTCTTACTTTAACACAGGATTTTATCTTACACTACTGGCACAACATGCTAACATCTTTTCAAAACATCTATATATCTATATCTATATATATACATATGTGTATATCTATATATATACATATGTGTATATATATATATATATATATATATACATACACTCACCAGCCAATTTATTAGGTACACCTGTCCAACTGCTCGTTAACACTTAATTTCTAAGCAGCCAATCACATGGCGGCAACTCAGTGCATTTAGGCATGTAGACATGGTCAAGACAATCTCCTGCAGTTCAAACCGAGCATCAGTATGGGGAAGAAAGGTGATTTGAGTGACTTTGAACGTGGCATGATTGTTGGTGCCAGAAGGGCTGGTCTGAGTATTTCAGAAACTTCTGATCTACTGGGATTTTCACGCACAACCATCTCTAGGGTTTACAGAGAATGGTCCGAAAAAGAAAAAACATCCAGTGAGCGGCAGTTCTGTGGGCCGAAATGCCTTGTTGATGCCAGAGGTCAGAGGAGAATGGCCAGACTGGTTGGAGCTGATAGAAGGGCAACAGTGACTCAAATAACCACCCGTTACAACCAAGGTGGGCAGAAGAGCATCTCTGAACGCACAGTTCGTCGAACTTTGAGGCAGATGGGCTACAGCAGCAGAAGACCACACCGGGTGCCACTCCTTTCAGCTAAGAACAGGAAACTGAGGCTTCAATTTGCACAAGCTCATCGAAATTGGACAATAGAAGATTGGAAAAACGTTGCCTGGTCTGATGAGTCTCGATTTCTGCTGCGACATTCGGATGGTAGGGTCAGAATTTGGCGTCTACAACATGAAAGCATGGATCCATCCTGCCTTGTATCAACGGTTCAGGCTGGTGGTGGTGGTGTCATGGTGTGGGGAATATTTTCTTGGCACTCTTTGGGCCCCTTGGTACCAATTGAGCATCGTTGCAACGCCACAGCCTACCTGAGTATTGTTGCTGACCATGTCCATCCCTTTATGACCACAATGTACCCAACTTCTGATGGCTACTTTCAGCAGGATAATGCGCCATGTCATAAAGCTGGAATCATCTCAGACTGGTTTCTTGAACATGAAAATGAGTTCACTGTACTCAAATGGCCTCCACAGTCACCAGATCTCAATCCAATAGAGCATCTTTGGGATGTGGTGGAACGGGAGATTCGCATCATGGATGTGCAGCCGACAAATCTGCGGCAACTGTGTGATGCCATCATGTCAATATGGACCAAACTCCCTGAGGAATGCTTCCAGCACCTTGTTGAATCTATGCCACGAAGAATTGAGGCAGTTCTGAAGGCAAAAGGGGGTCCAACCCGTTACTAGCATGGGGTACCTAATAAAGTGGCCGGTGAGTGTATGTGTATATATATATATATATATATATATATATATATATATATATATATATATATATATATATATATATATATATATATACACACATATGAATGCATATAAAAGGTTGAAAAACAAAACTATTTGAACCAATAAAAAAAGCCTCAAATTTACAATTTTCTCACATATTTTACATTTCCCATCTGTCTGTCTTTCTCACAAACAACAAACATCTAAAGATTTTATTCTTTATCTAGATGAAAAATGGCAGTTTGGGATTAGGACACACTGTCTCTATCAATCAACATTATGTTTTGACAGTGGGGCTGAGGATTTCAGATCATATGTCTTCTCACTGTGTATCTCATGACCTTAAATAATGGTAGGGTTGGAATGCGCAAAAAAAAGAAAAAAAAGAAGCCATTTTTGATTGTAAAGGCAGTGAGAAGAATCCCGGGTGTCCAAACTAGATTCACTCAGCGTGAGCCAACACAAAAGCTGCATTACCAAAGCTACCTCCATCAATAAGAACCTCCATCACCCTATCACACTTTCCCTTTTGGAAAAGAACAGAAGCATCTGCTGAAAAAGTGGGTGGATGCTGAACAGCATTTTCTACAGGATGGAACACTGTGATATATGTGATGGTGTCCACCTTAACATCCCATACACATAAACATCCACTTCCAGCCTCTTTTCAACAGTTTCACAGTTGAAATTCTGTCAAGGTGAAAGGCTTTAATGAGGATCCAAATTCAGCATACAAATTTGTTTTTAAAGGGGTGGGGTCTGCTCAGTCTCATTTATTTTATTAAATTAATATTTATTTAGGACCCATATTCTGAATGTAATGTTACTCTGTTATTTAATTACAGTTTTTTCTATTTTGTTGTTTTCACACGTCCTTTAAATGCACCTATAAAGCAGATGGGGGAAAAAAAGTTATTTCTCTCTTAGCATATCCAGTAAAATCAGTGTGTGAGAATGGGTGAATAACTGAATGTAGGGTAAAATGATTTGGTCAAGTGTCCTGAATTGACAAAGTGCTATACTGTATAAGTACAGGCTATTTACCATTTAAAATTTGCATAAACAGAACTTATGAAGGAATCCAAAGTTTAGGAAAGTGCTATCCAATATAGGTGGCCCACCCTCATGAATATAACTTCTATGTTATGACTGTTTTAGTTACATTCACTTACAAAATAGTGTTCTTTATTGATAGAAATAAATATTCATTTATCTGGGAATGCCTCTTTTAAAACGACACATTTTTCTTTTCATATTTTTATAAATTAATACATGATCATTTTTTGAACTGTAGCTTTTAGCCAAACATAAAAAACTAGTAGGGTTAAATTTTGAATTGAAAAAGTGAAAAAGCGAAACATCTTCAAACTTGGAAACCAAGTCCAGTGGATTGTTTTTAATTATTTTGAAATGACTGTGACCTGGATGACGGAGAACCCTCACCAGTATATTGTACTCCATTTTGGGAAAGACACTGTCGGAATAATGCGTGAGTATGAGAAACTGGTTAGGAAACTGGCAGATTATAGGAACCATTTTCGTTTCAATTTAAGATGCAGACAGCAAAGACTCGTTCCCAACAGCTTAGATCCTTAGGAATGCACACAACAAGCTGCTCAGTGAAAGGATAAGACAGACTCTCTTCACAATTGAAGCTCTCTCTCACAATATATATCAGAAAAGGCAGAAGCTGTCCAACCTTCTCCCTGAAACTTTGTTTGAAGAAATTGTCACGTTTGTTGGTAAGGTCCAGCTTTCACAGCACCAGAAAATTAAATAAAGACAAAAAGCGAAATTCAATAAATTACAACAGAAAGCAGCAATTAAACAAGAAACCAACATATCACAGGAGGAAGCCGCCAACACTGAGGTCCAAGGCAAGGGGGTTAAAAACCTGTCTAGCCTAGTCTAGACTGCTGACAAAGCCAGAGATGGATGTTCTGAGTAAAGGCCTGAATATTGCCATTTCTCCATAAGAAATACCCACTGTGGAGCTGATCACTGCCGCCAAATCTGCCATCAGGAACAACATTTGCCTCAAACAGAGGCAGAGCAACTCCTCCAACCACTTCCTTCCAATATCACACCACAAGAAAGGAAAGACGTAACATCTCTTAGCCAGGATCAAAGCATCACAATATTACCAGCAGACAAAGGAAGATGCGACGTGGTCCTCAACACTTCCGACTACCAGGACAAAATTCTCGCTGTACTGAGTGACATCAACAAATATTTAAAACAGATCCAACCAACGGCTACAGAAAGAAATTCACGGACTACCTCGAACTATTTGAAAAAGAAAAGGTAATTAACAGTATAGTCCATTTCTGATTATATACAGAGGAGGACATTCCATGCTTATATGGACTCCCAAAAATTCACAAGGAAGGAACACCAAGACCCATTGTCAGCAGCATTAACTCAGTAACATACAACATTGCTAAACAGCTTACTAATATTTTAGCCCCCTTGGTGGGAAACACACCACATTACATAGAAAACTCCAAAGACTTTGCAAACAAAGTCAAACATTTAAAGATGGAGCCAGGAGAAACCCTGGTGTCTTTTGATGTCTTTTCTGTCTTTTCACGTGCATACTTATATCAGAGGCAGTGGAAACAGTCAGGAAACATCTTCAACAAGACAGTGACCTAAACAACAGGACCAATTTCACTCTGGACAAGATTTGCACCCTACTGGACCATTGCCATTCCACAATCCATTTCAAGTTCAGGGATAATTTTTACATATAAACGCATGGTTGTGCCATGGGATCTCCCGTGTCAACAATTGTAGCCAATCTTTACATGGAAGAAATGGAAAAGAGAGCTTTAGACACTTTCAATAGAACACCAGCAAGCCATTGGTTTAGATATGTGGATGACACATTTGTCATCCACAGCTAAAAGAAGTAGAAGCTTTCACAAGACACATCAACTCGGTTGACCACAACATCCAGGTCACCAGAGAGGATGCCAACAACAACAAGCTACTTTTTCTGGACTGTTTGTTGAGCATGGAAGGAGATGGAAACCTCAACATTGAAGTCTATAGGAAATCCACTCACACAGATCAATATCTTCTTTTTGACTCACACCCCCCATTGGAACACAAAATTTCAGTCACCAGAACCTTACAACATCGTGCTGAGCATGTCACTAAAAAATGAAGGGAAGCACAAAGAACAGAAACACATCAAAGGTGCTATTCAAACCTGCGAATACCGAAACTGGGCTTGGTCAAATCAGCAAGGAAATCCAAAAGACACGCAGCAGAACAAAACGGTGAGAATATCAAACGCAAAAACATCTCCATCCCACATGTTGCTGGAGTCTTTGAAAAACAGATTTTTCTCCAAACACAAAATCCCAGTACATTTCAAACCTAACAAGACCCTTAGACAGAGATTGGTGCATCCTGAGGACAAAATCCCCAAACCAAATATGAGCAGAGTGGTGTATGCAGTTCAGTGCAGTGAGGAAAGATCTGATCTTTATATTGGATCTTTATATATATAATATTCTTGAAAATAGATTGAAGGACATATACAAAAAAATCTTTTTGGTGTAAAATAATGATTTTGGCCTTGAATTTTGGTAATTGGATCACAAGACATCTCGGCGGAAGTAAGGCTTTGGAGCACTGCTAGTTGTGCTGGCTAGGGAAATGGTAATATTTGGAGTTAATCACAAACAATATAGAACTAGGCTTATTTTACTGTTTATGCACTGTACGCTTGTCTGCTTTTTATTTCTCAGGGATAATGTGTCAATATACTAATCTGAACGAAAGAAGAAACTAAACATTACATCAGATTTAGCTACAGCCACTTTCCATCTGCAGTCCCTGTCCAGATCAAAACAGTAAAATACATTTAGCATTCATACATCTAGCCATAGAAACCACTCACAGCCATTTACTGCTACTTACTCACGACTCCAGGTTAGAACTTCGTAGCATCTTACAAATTACCATAGGTGGTTTTAACAATGTTTATTTCCCAACAAGCTCCACAAACAGCTGTGGACAACACCCAAAGCAAACCATTTCCTATATTAAACATGATGGTGGCAGCATTATGCTATGGTAATGTTTTTTTTTTTATTGGCAGAACAGGGAATCTGACCAGAACTGTTCGAAACATTGGTGGAGATAACCCTGCAACAAAACCTGCAAGAAGTGACAAATGACCTCAGACTGGGGTTCTGACTTCCCAGCAACATTTAACCTAAGCAGAGCGAGGCCACAATGCGAAAGTTAAAAACATGAATTAGTCCTCAGAACTAAATTTAATTGATAATTTCATGACAGGGTTTAACATATGTTGTTTACAGATGTCCCCCATCAGAGCTTGAGCATCGTTGCATAGAGGAACAGTAAAAGCTATTTTGTAATAGTGCCAAGCTGTTTGAAACATACTCCAACAGCCTACCTAATGTAACTGCAATGCAAGTGATTCCACAGTTTGCTAACTTAAAAACTATTTATCATGTTCCTTTCTCTTTGACTGTGTTGCAAATAAAACCCCCACCACACATTAAAGCTGGCCAGAAATGGCAAAAGTACTCACTTTCCGTACTTGAGTAAAAGTACAGATACTTGTGTTAAAAAATAATCTGGTAAAAGTGGAAGTACTGATTAAACTTCTTTACTCAAGTAAAAGTAACAAAGTACAGGCTTGTAAATTTACTTAAAGTATAAAAGTAAAAGTAGAAACCACTTTTTTCATGCCGTTGCCTACATTTTAAATGGATGTCTGCCAATAGGACTAGATCTCCGTTGTGTTCATTTTCAAACATCTCGTCGTCCATACTACTATGCTAACGCCACCGCCACCAAGCTGCAATGATTTGCAGTGAATGAATACCGCCAAATCTGTCGATTCATCTCGTAGTGGTGCGTCAAATGCAACGTAGATTCCCATCCAATTAGATTGAATTTGGTATTGATGACGTGAAAAATAATAACAGTAACTCCATTCAAAACTAAAGTAACGAGCCATTTTTTTAAATGTAAGGAGTAGAAAGTACAGATATTTGTGTAAAAATGTAAGGAATAGAAGTAAAAAGTCACCATAAAAATAAGTAGTAAAGTAAAGTACAAATATCAGAAAAATCTACTTGAGTACAGTAACGAAGTATTTGTACTTCGTTACTTCCCATCTCTGAAGCTGGCTATATCAAACTGACAAACTGTAGGGAAATTGAGATGTAGGAAAACCTTTGGGAGGCATAGCATTGTTCAAAACAAGATGCTTTCAATTTGATTGATAACCAATGTAATATTCAAGGGAAATGTTAAGATATCAACATTTAAAGGTTTTAATCTATACTCTAATGAAATAAATCACTTAAATGTTTATAAGAATATTTAATTTTACAGGATTTAAATTTTTACATTTACTCTAAATGACAATAAAGTATCAAAACTTACACAGGGTTATCGCATTCTCTTTCTGCACTCTGGATTCCAGCACCACAGGTCCTGGTACAAGCTGACCACTCACTCCAGGAAGCCCAGCCGCCATGTACACTCTCTGGCTTATGTCCTGATGGTACACACTCTCCATTGATGCACCACTGCATAAAAAAAATCCCAACAAACGTTATTTACATGAAACATTTCTTTCTTTTTTTATACACCACATGCCACAGAACTGGAAGGCATGTAATCTGGAGAAGGATGAGATTGACTCCATTGCAAGGAATCAATGGGTGAATAGGAATTCAGGGGATGCATCCTTCAAAGAGCAGATTCATAGGCCAATTAACATCATAGCGCAGCGCAGAGGTCTTTTCGGATTCGAAGACTCCTCGTATGCAGCAGATGCATCCTTCTTTTTGCCTGATTTGTAGGACGGGTCCGATGTATCCTACGTAGCCTTGGATATCCTTTGATTCATTGCGAGTACAAGCAAGCCAGCTGCTCCGTGCTCAGAGGAAAAAGGTACTTGGCGCTGAACAGTGTGAATATTGGAAGTGCAGTTTCTTCTCATACAAGTATGTGAATAGTTCCGTCTGAAACTAATGAATAAGGTTTTTTAAAGCCGGGGAAGGCTAGACCTGTTTGAATTCACAGCCAAAACTCTTCCAGTCTCCTTATTTTCATGGACATCTAAGGATCCAGGCCAGATAGACCGGGTCCTTGGAGGACGCAGCCTTTAAAATCGAACAAACCCATTGCTTACCTTCAATATCCTAAAGAAAGGAGAATATACAACATGCAGGGAAGATGAATGACAGACACTGAAAAGAAACGACAGAAGTGCTATTACTACCATTCATTCACTAAATTCATAGTGACAAATAATATATCAGGTTGGGATGTCAGCAGCTTTCTCTGGAAAAATTAAATTCTGAACATTTAATGAAATTATTTTCTAGAAAAATAGAAAAACGTTGCATTAGTTTGTTTTAAGAGTGGTTCTTAGTCATTTATTTTTGGATCAGCATAAAAAAGTTTGAGTTTCACAGAAATGTCTCTTTAAAAAGCTGTACAGGACCTTTAAAAAAAGGACTGTTGTAAACACTGACTGCCCTCCATGAGCTGAGCACCCTACAGCTACAGCATATTCTATTAGCTGAATGATGCATATCTCAGATGTCTGAATAAGTGGGTACCATTGAACATTATCTTAAAAAGTACAGGGTACAGTAGCCTTTATACTACAAATAATTACCATTATGTAATTTAGTGAAGCGCATGTCTGCCTCTTCAATAAACTTTTTAAAAATTGCTCTTCACCTTTTATAGAGCCACGCTAAAATCATCCCTTTAAATTGACAATTAGAACATCCACAGAGGTCAGCAGATATGGTACAAGTCCAATAACATCATTGCCAGGTCTGCATCAGTTTTACATCCTTGTTTTTGTTTTAGGTCTCACTGCGGAATAAAAGCATTGCCTAAATTCACTCTTGTTCGAGCCCTTCTCCAATCTAATTCACGTTTTATTTTCCCTTTCTTCTTCTGATAAAGGTTTTCGTTGCCGTTTTTGGCAGCTCCAACATGTTATACTTTCAAAATAAAAATAAAAAACTGTTCTATAATCACCTGTGTGATTAGCACAGCGTGAGGTGTGTGGTTAGTGAAGCCACTGGCTTTATATTGGGCTGCCGTACAGCTGGTTGCCTTACTGCAAGAATAAGAAGAGAGCCGCCAGACTGCCACCTTGGTCGGGTTTTCTGACCTGAGCCAGTAGGGGGAGATGACAGACCTCTCAATCATCTCATAAAGACTTCAATTAACATCACAGCTACTTAGAAGATAATATATATGAAGGTAAAAATATGAGTGCTGCTTTAAAGAGGCTAGTCATTTTAGATGTGACTATTTATAAGAGATATTGGATCTTATTTAAGGTTGCATTATTTTTGGGAGATTTTTGGTTCAATTAGAATTAATAATCCCAGTAAACTAATACAGCTTAGCTTTCAGCAGACACCCTCCCCTTTAGAGAAAAAAAAAAATCAGGAAAGAATTCCTTTGAACTCTAACTCCCTGTAGAAATCAAAGAGTGACAGTTTTTCGACTAGAGAAGCCTTCAGATCTCTTTCTCAGTCATGAACCAGAGTATTTACCTTGTCCTCCCCACAGCTTGTTCCATCAACGGCGCCATCCAGCTTTGAGTGGCAGGTTGTTCCGACAGTGCACCACAGAGTGCTGCATACATTCTAGGAAGGCAGAGAGTGATTCATCTGTCACTTCACCAACAGGCTGTTTGATTAGCTTTGCAACATTTCTTCGTGGGGTTGCAGATTTCCACATCAAAGCCGAAACTGAGTTAGATTAAAACCCCAATTTGGACTAGAGACCAAAAATAAAGCACAAAGAATACATATTTTAATAAGATATAGTTACTCTTAATTAATGAACCCTTTAAGAGTTTTCTTTTAATAATCTACTAAAGATTTAAACAATAAACAGAGTTAAATTAGCTCTCATGTTTATAGAGATGCACACTAATGTCAAAACATACAGTGACGTTTAAAAGCTCAATGAGAAAGAAAACGTGGCCTTTACCTCTGGGTTGATCAGGGTTACAGAGCAAGAAAAGGATAGAATAAATTTATGTTCACATAAGAAAACTAAGATTAAAAGCTTTTAGGTCACTAACATTTAAGAAATATAAATCTCCTTGAACCCCAGTCAGCCTCAGCAGATGGACGCTTACACTAAGCTTGGTTCTGCTGAAGGTTTCTTCCTGTTAAAAGGGAGTTTTCCTCTCCACTGTCGCTACAAGCATGTTTGGTTTTAGGGATTGCTGAAGACTCAATTAGTCGATGCAATCAGCATGTTTTCCTTAGATCTGACTGTATGACCTGGTTAAATTGTCTCCGTAAACTGCATTGAGATGATGTGTTGTGAATTGCCACTATATAAATAAACTGAATTGAAAGACAAATACTTTTATGCTGTAATATAAATAAAGAATAGAAATCAGTGTTTGTATTGCACAAGGATGGTGTCTTAGGAACCTTCAAGTTCAAGGTCTTTTTTTGTCTTTCACAGATCACACATTTATATTCACATTTCAACTACAACTAAAGGTTTTTGGTCTTTTAGAAAGCACTTAAACAAAATATAACAATGCAATATATTTCTTGAGATAAGACCTGACACTTCATAAATCTAAACTTAGTTTGAACTTTTATTAACTTGTTTTAATTTTGTTCATTTTCCCCTCATTTTATGAAAATGTTCTTTTTCTTCTTTTAATGTATTTTTACAGCTTGCACTAACTTTGTTAATTATTTCAGTCTTGGTTGTTTTATAAGGCATACCGGTAAGTTAAATTAGAACAGTGTAAAGTTTATCTATATGAAAAAATCTATGTTTAGCTAAATTTGCAAATAGAAGATTTTTTTCTGCTTTAGCTGGTGATTACGGTAAACTAACCCCACTGATCAATATTCATTTAGTGTTGAATCTTTCAGTAAGACTTTTCATAAATTCATTTCATTCACAGTACAACCTAACCTAAACAATTTCAGCTAATATATCATATGGCCTTAGGCTAAATGTTCTTGTTTTTCCATGCAGTTATTTTGGCATATAACTATTATGTGGCTTTATAAATATGCCACTCAGGTCTCTGAGAAATGGGCTCTCCTGTAATGGAAGATAAGACCAGTCTCAATAAAGCAATAGCTTCCAGCCTCAAGTCAATTAGCTGCACTTGAATCATAAATTAAACACTGGCTTGTTCACAAAAACAAGCTTTACAAGCCCAGATCTTTCCCTAAAATGGCATGTTTTTCAGGGCCAAAGAAATACGTTTTTTTTTTTTATCAGATTATTTTTATCACATGTTGATTATCTGACCCAAAGGTGGAGTTTGAGTCCACCACTGTGAATGTTTAATTTATTTTAGTTATCGGAAAAAAAGGTCTTAGTTTTATTCAACAAAAACAAGATTGGTGGCCTTCATTCCACCAGTATTCATTGATACTTGCAAGGAGGAATAGATAACATTTTTGCTAATGTTCTGTTGTTCTTTTCAGATAGGGGATTTCACTAACTGCTTAAAACTCAAGAGAAAGGCTGAAAGTGTTTTCACATACATGTTCATCCAAACAAGTTACAGACAGTTTAGAACGAAAACAAGGGATGCTAAATATGCTTGAAACTAAATGAGTCTGGCTCCCTTTTCAAAATATCTCACACTGGAAAAGAAGCTTCTCATATGTCATTAGATAAGCTAGTTAATGCCTAGCACTATTTAGCAGTGTAGAAAAAAAAAAATAAGCTCACGTTAAGGTTTTAAACTGGAGGAAATGAGAAATAAATAGGAAAACATTTCCCCACCACCCTACTAGTATAATTTATGCAAGCTCCAACTTTCAGAGCTCTAACTTTGTACAGTAACCTTTAGAAATTTTCTATTTTGTAATCACAACTTTAAAGGTCCATAGTTACATTATATGCCAATACAAAAAAAAAAAAAAAAAAATTTTATCATGATTTTTAGCCTACTTGAATTCTAGCACAATGTGCAATGAGCAGATGTAAAAAGTGCCTGCAGCACTGTAGAACTATGAGAAAGCTAGATTGCATTTACTGACAAAGCTACTTAATAGAGCCCAATTGTTCGTTAATGCTCTGAGTTTAACATCTCAATGTGGTCAAAGACCAATGAATATGATTTAAAAAAACAGATCTATAGCAACTCTAAGTTCTAGTGAATTTTCCCCAGAGCGTCCTAACATCATAACCACAAGGGAAACGAAAATTCATGTTTCTACTGTACCAAACACTCTCATGGTAAGAGCCTGCCTGTTTTTTGTCTGTAGAAAGTGATGATAGCAATGCTATCACTACTAACAGTGTTATTAGGGATGTTTATTCAAGCATCACTCAAGCATGTGAACAACTCTGAAGCTTTACCTCTTGCTTCACTGAACACCGATGATCAAACTTTACTAATACTGTTTTTCAAGGGCTTTTTTTACAATGGATCTTGGACTTTTCCCTAATCATTTTCACAACTCGCTAGAAGGTCACAGACAATGAATAACTAAGCAGCCATGAAGGATGCCAAAAACAAGGAGAATTAAAAACTCACCCCAGGTGGGTGGATCGGGGCCTCTGAAGGAGGGCAAGACTCAAAAATAAAAAACAGCAATGAGAGACCAAAACAAAAACAGCCCACCAAAAAGTGGGCAACTAATAAGCAGAGTCTCTGGAGGCCAGCAGTGAGGCCTGAGACAGAGAAGTCTCTGGAATATGGTCAGGAGGCTGGGGGAGCACCTCTGGAGGACGGCGTCACAGCAGTCAGAACCTCGAAAGCCATCGTCACAGCAGAGGAGCCTTAGGGCCTGCTGACTGTGGCACAGGAACCCACAAAGGCGTCACAGATTGCAAGGGATACCCATGGAGGGACCTTTGAGATGAGAAGCCAATAGAAAGGCACAGAGCGGACTCAGAGGTCTCTGGATGGCACAGAGGAGGCTCACAGAGAGACTCTGATTTAGATTTCAATTTGCATGTTTCAAAACAACGCTTTATTTTTGGTCCACTCTATAAAACCTCAAACTCAACGCTAATTCTGACATTTTAAACTGAAAAAGCTTCCTAAAGGAAGCAAATAGAAGTTTATGTGTCTCTACTCAGAGCTATAAAATGAAGCAACAGAAAATGCTGAGGGTAAAATCTTCTACAACAGAGATATGATATTCGAATGAACACTATCCAAAAATAGCATAAAGACTCCAGAAGTAAACGATAGAAAAATTTGTTCAGATTACAATTTGCATAGACTCCATCTCAGCTCAGTAAAAACTACATTTCCAAAACTGCTCAAATCACTTATTTAATGAGTAATCCAAGTTAACAAAATATGTAACAAAAGATCTAAGGCTAACTTAGTGAGTTTTAAATGAGTTTTAATCCAGCTCATGTCATATGATTCATATAGAAGTTGGAGGCTTTATGACAGGCCCAGATGAAGTAATTACAGATACAGAGTTTCAAAAAAATTAAAGCTTTAGGCTGTTTTTAAATCCAAGGTGACATAAAAGGCACCAGTAGGCCCGATTAAGGCATCTTGTCAGATGGTCAGAGAGCTTCAGCAATTCACATCACCAAACACCTTTTAGAGTGTGTAGAGAGGGATTAAAAACTCTTGCATCTTTAACAACCTAAAGCTATGATTTAAAAGTAGAAGCAGCAGCCTGGTTTGAACTTTAAATCATCATTTAAATTCATTTTTGGCACAACTGTTTGTATCACTTTCTGAAACTATCCGAAAATATATTTTGCATATGCATTTCCTGCCAAAACTGTACATGTACACAACTTGCCAAATATCCATTGGAAGTGTGTGGCATAAACTAATACTCCTTAGGCTTTTGAACTTTCCATATGTATATTCATTGGGTCATTCAAGCAGTAACTTTTTCTTTGCCTGCTATCCATGATTGCACTCGTCTGGATGGTATCTAAGGTTGTTCCTGAAATCTGCTCTTTGATAGCCACATAACTGCTCTCACCACTAAGCCATTATATTCCCCAGCCTTTCTATTTTATCTACAGTATGTCCCACTGGTATTTATCAAGTTTCTCTTTGTTACTCTTTTAAACATTAAAGTTGCTTTAGATCTTTGGATCATTTGCACCCTTCTTGTCTGGTTAGTTATTCATTGTCTGTTTGTCAGTCTGGATCTGGTAATGCCTCAAGATGTCTTTGTCCTTGTCAGGCACTATGCATATTTTAAGGAGACGGTCCAGTAGTGTTGCACAAATGCCATTTTTTGGCGCTGATACCGATACCAGATACCTGGCTGTGCAGTACTGGGCGATACAGATACCATCTGTTTGAAATAGATGTGTGTGTGTGTATATATGAAGAACTGCATACTACTTGGATGTAAAATAATTGCCACAATGGCTTTTTCAAGCTGCTGCCTACCTTTGTGAAGCAGGAAAAAGACTAATACAAAGTGAATCCAGTAGAACTTTTTATTGCCTACCCGGAATAGGTGACAATAGTTTAATAAACTTCTGGCTCTCAAAAGCGTATTGCCAATTGGCACTCGCCGATACCACCATTTTAGTGCAGGATCGGGGCCCCGCCCAATACTGTTAATGGTGCAACACTCCAGTCCAGTAAAGGATTGTTGCTAATAATGGAGCTTCATTCACATGGACTGTAATTGAGCGGTCCCACAGTGTT